ATGAGAGCATCAGGCGTCGCCGAAGACTACAGTGAGAAGTCACAACTGCTGGACGAGTTGTCTTCCGTTTACGACGACTGGAAGAAGCGTGACAAGTTGCGCCTGGAAGATGTTATGCGTGAGGCGGAGCGAGTCGAGACGATGGGGGCAACAATTCGTGAAGAAGCGATGCAGTCATTGGGCAAACGCAAGAAGATCGACCAAGTCGACGGTGATGCCGGCGGCGGCAACAACGGAGGCACTTTAGCCAAGATGATGAAGATGATGCATGACGACAACAACGCTGAACTGGAGTTTCGTAAGTACCAGTACGAAAAAGACCAAGAAGAGCGTGAAGCTGTGCGATCCCGCGAATATGAAGAGAGACGTATAGAACGAGAGTTACAGGCAGAGCAACTTCGATGTGACCGAGAAACTCAGGCAACTCAATTACGCATGCATCTTGAGATGATGATGAACATGATTACATCGATGAATAAATCTAAGTAATTACACTTGCATAAGAATAATTGTTTGGATTAAACGTCAATTATGTCTAAGGTGTCCAAATATGACTCCAAGCTTGGTGGATCCAACTTGAAGAATTTGCTGATTTGATTTCCTCCAAAGTAGCAACAATGACAATTTGTCAATAGCATGGCCACACACACGACTTTGGCCACTGGGGATAAACGTATCTTCGACAACCCTTTGAACGTAATAAACGCCCAAAGTGTCTTCATAACCTTGAAGTTCCACTCCACTGATTGGCGCACACGACTCATCCACTTGTTGAAGTCCCTTTGAGCGTTGCTCAATCCGTTGCCCTTGTAACCAGAAAGCAAAAACTTGAACACGCCATACGCGGGGTCGCCATAAATACACTTGCGCCAAAACAAACCAGAGTGCGCCTCGAGGTAATCCAACAAGCCACTGTACCGTAGCATCGTGGTGTCGTGGCGTCTTCCTTCGGCCGGCCCAAAGAAGTGAACACAAATCCCGTCCGGTGCAGTGACGGCTTGATAGTTCAGACAGTGCACGCGTTTGTGGCCACTGTACACTTCCTTCTGCATGTTGTTTCCGTCCATGGTCGCTGAAATCCGGCAAACTTGGACTTTGGTTCCATCAATGAATCCAAACACGTTCTGTGATGGTGAGCCCTTGCGGGCGATTGCAGCACAGTAGTCATCGATGTTACGGCTCACGAGCTTGTAGTTGAAGTACAGTAACTTGTTCCAACGGCTGTAGATTTCGTTCAGGACATGCAGGAAAACGTCGCAGAGCACTGACTGAGCGTGAACGACCAAACGTTTTGGACATGTCGAAGAAACGTGTGGGAAACGCCAAACGTGACAGCACAATGCACATAGCTTCGTCGCGTACCACACGATTTCGATTAGGAGTTATGACCACTGCTGGGAGACCCAAGAGGAAGGCCACCCTCTGCACACCGCCAACGTCAAAACGAAACTCGAGCACAGCATTCGCGTCGGACATCAAGTCGATGTTAAATCGAATGTCAGGTATGAGCGGGCGTTCGACAACCAGAGATAAAGCCAGTGCAGCCACAAAACGGCGTTGTCGCTTGGTCTTGGCGAGCGTGAAGACCAAAGCAAGGTCGTTGTGGGTAAGCACCATGTTCCAGAATGTTGTGTTGACTTTGAGTACCACAAATAGTATCCGATTAATATAAATTTATCCGGACTAGTGGCGACGGTTGGTTGCAAAATCACAAAACTCGTTGGCAGTGCACTTCTTTCCGATCGCCGATTTTGGCAGAATGTAGTGGCGTGACAGTGGACGGATGACTTGCAAAACCTCTCTATTGTTGTATAAAGATACTGAAACTGTCTCCGGATACTAGATTTCGTAAAACCCCTTATATCTCTGGATATAATTTTGGCATACAAATATCAAATCAAAATATGTCCACTTTCTGGGTTTACGAAATTTCGTGTTTCGTATCTCCAATTGTATCCGGCAGATATATTTCGTAAAACCTATATACACACATTCCTTTGATAGCTAATATGATGACAGCATCCCACGAACTAGCGTTTTAGAGGATTCAATACATTGCACAAGTCTAAAACATGCACCGATGACTGGTGCCCTACGAAAAACACTACTTTTGAAAATCCGTACTCCACGTGTTTACTACTTAAATCGATATGCTTTGACTTCAATTAATGAGCTGAATCTTGCAGTTATTTTGATAATGTATCACCTGAATATGTGTTGTAGTCAACGAGAAATTGACGAACTAAGTAAGCAAAGAGCGAAACTGATCACTGGTGCCCCACGTTACCATCAATGGTAGTATCGTTAAGTTACTTCGGTGGAAGTTATGGTCCGAATTGGGATAAATTGTAAAATTACTGTCGGCTGTGGGATTTGAACCCACGCGTACGAATACATCACGACCTGAACGTGACCCCTTAGACCACTCGGGCAAACGGACTGTACGAACAACTTGTTAATTTAATCGAATAGGTCTACTGTGCAACATATTGGCAATTTGGGCTTTTGCGATTGAGGGTGAAATCGTCGAACAAGTCGTTCATTGCACACACTAACCTTCCACGATGCAGGGCATACGCATCGACATATGATGACATCATTGGAATCTGCGATGGTGGGTACCTCGATCACAGGAAAGTAGGCGACACTGACTGTCGGTCCAAATCGACGGGCAAATTGAAGGCAGGATGAGAAGAGCGAAACCTCCGCCGATATATAAGATCAAACTTGGACTGTCGATATCGATATGAAGACGAGATCCAACAATCGAAATGATATTAACAGTAAAGTGAAATGGATTTATGATAATGTATGTAATATTTTCTTAAATCCCATCGATACGATTTCTAATCGAAAAAAGCAAAAGTCCATTGATTTAAGATTTCACAAGTGCTGGATATACCCCCTTGCTTGTGTTGGATAATATTAGTTATCCGGAATAAGGGAATACAGGTTATGTGCCATCATGAGAATTGATCAATTAACGTGTGATGTAGAGCATGTGATACGCACATGTGTTGTATGTTTTAGCTAATCAGATCGTGGCAACAGACTAGTGGATACAGTGCTTTGCAGTCAAATCGGGTCAGTGCAACTCTATCAAAATAAAATAAATCACATTTGTAGCGAAGTAGCAAGCCCTTGTTTGATTGGCTGAATATCCATTTAAATGGAATAGCCAATCGCAAACTATTTCATCTGTGATTGGCTTATCTGAGGCGTTTGAAATGCCATGTGTCGAATGCGTCAGAGCAGGAGTCGAAGAGTAATGCAACAGTCCGGATAAAGCGCACACGATTGCTGCAACCATGCCGAACACATTAACTACCCAAGCGAGCGAGAACCAGTGTTTTCGACCTGACTGGAGAATATTATAAATGAAATATATTTGCACCCACAAACTACAAGGTAAATAGGAAACTGCGAGTAACATTTCGGCATACTTTGCGTAGTTATTGTGAACAAGTCGAGCTCGGAGTAGTTAAAAAGTAGGGTCAATATTATGAATGGAACGTCAGCGTGAATGCAGTCCGTGGACTTGAAATCCCATCGGTGAGTCGACAATGTGTACGAAACCATGCATGCACACAGCAATAAAAATCTGTTCGTTGCCTTCCTTGTCATATCTGGGCAAACGAGTGGTCCACAACTTACACCGAAGCACGAAGCAGAGTTCAAATAAATGTCTTGGACATGCTTATGCGGAACATGTGGTACTATCATGTAACTGTGGAAAGTTGAAATGGGTACTTTTGTGCTGACATTTTGGGCTGTAACCGCACGACGGAAATGACTGGGAAATGACTGGTTTAAAACTACATTGTTTCAGCCAATCAGATATACTATTTATTGCACCCAACAAACTTGAACCACCATGAATTGAATTATAATATATGTGGGTGGTATACCACTATACATACAAAACCCAACAACAAGGCAATAATTGCACTGACCCGATTTGACTGCAAAGCACTGTATCTGCGTGCATTGGCTGTGATGTGAAGATGATTGTAAAATAATGGTTCACAACTCAATTTACCACCCACCTCCGAACTGAGCCTCTCTGCTTGTTTTTTTGTGTGTCGAATGATTTTGCTTAGAGTGATACATATTGCTTGGATTTACTTGATCTTTCAAGTATGGTGATCTCGTCTGCTTCATCAAAGTCTACCTCGGACTTGGCGCTTCTAGTGTTCGACGGAAAGAAGTCCTCATTTCGTGTGTGGTCCCAAAGCATTGTTAGCTACCTGGAGGGAATGGCCCTTGAGATGGTTAGGAACCAAAATCATTGCCCGAGCCTAAAATCAAATACGAGGACTGGTTGCATTGCAAGCCGCCGATTATCTCGACTGGCAAGTCGAAAGCCGTTACGGGACTTCTAAAGTTTCTGGTTATATGGGTCAATTAATTAATACGACCCAGAAACCTTTCGAAAACATCAAGTCATAGTTTGGTGAGATGAAGTCCCTCAAAAAGAACCTGAGCAATGCCCAATCTCGTCAACACCTTGGTTGCAACAGTGTGACTGATGACTTGATCATTTACATATGGCATTGTATGAATTACCCTCTCAGTTTTATGGTGCACAAACCAAGTACGACGGGTAGAGGCTAAACTTGTTGGAGTTTTTGGGTCAAAAAAAGAAACACGCAATTCTGACGATGGGAGATCAAAGTCCACGACCGGATATTCCGGTTAGTAATGCTAACTTTTCCTCCAATCAGAACCATGGGAAAGAAAAATCATCCGGAAATCTAGCCAATCAAGGCAAGCGTCATGACACCGGAAAGACGTTTTCCAAGGCAACTCCAAAGAGTCCCAAGTGCTTCTACTGTGAAGGCAAATACAACGTCCGCGGCATGGACCACATGAAGTGGGAATGCCCCAAGCGCCAGAACGACTTTCGGCGTGGCTGGGCGGAAGTTCGGTTTCGAAGAATCGCCGCGAATCGAAGATGCGGTGTCCAAGGGGCGCGATGTTCGCACCGAAGTGGTATGTGGCGCTGTCATGATGCGTGAAGAAGTGGCGTTACCTGCATCGCTTCCAAGCCGTCAAGAATTTGACCTGCCGGACATGTCCATGGTCGACATGTTTTCGTGCCCTGATGACAGCGACATGCTGTCCTACTCGCCCGCGTTGGCCGTGGACACGACGTCAACTCCTCGTGTCGAGGTGATGGCGGCATCCATACGTGACCTATGCGTAAAGATGGATCAGGTATTAAAATTACAGTGTCCGAATTTACTAACTCGTCGTGAAATGAGTAGTAGTGAATGGACACTCGATGGTGGTTGCGGTCACCACATGACCGGTGACGTTAGTTTTCTAACCAACCTAACAATGCATTCTGGATTCACATTTGCATTTGCTGGTGGTTATAAACTCGTTAATACAGACATCGGAGTTGCGAAGTTGTGGCTTGAGTCTCCCAATGGTGTAGTCCAGTATGTATTTCAAAACGTGCCAGGCGCAACGGCAAATATCCTGAGTGAAAATACTCTGAAGCGTTCGGGCTACTATATTGTTGATAGTGCCTATGCAGCGTACAAGTATGTCTTTTCAAACTGCAAGCTTCAGTTCATCAACACCTCGATAAATGGTGCTTACTTTGTCAAAAGTTGGACTGATACCGAGCGTCAAATTCGGAGCGCTCATGTAATGCGGTCCCCCGTACTAGCCCCAGTTCTCCATAAAAAACAACGAACCATGGAGTTAATCAGAGAATGGTATATTCGTTTAGGACATGTGAATACTGTGACGTTGATTTCGATGTTGACTGAGGGTATTGTCAACGGTGTTCCTCGTATTCACCCTGACTGTTTGCGTGGATTACGTATTTTGTGCAGGACATGGGTCCGTGCAAGCATCGTTGAATGCCGTACAAAGGGTTGATCGGCACTAGGCACCCCGACCCGCTTAGTTCACTTCACATGGACACTTGTGGCCCCCTTAAACAAGCTGGAATGTATGATACACTTGGACAGGTTAGGTACCACTGTTCAACTGTTGATGATGCGACATCGTATCGATGGGCTACCCTTCCCTCAACAACGGGCACCATTCCAACTAGTATCGTAGAATTTGTGAAACTCGTCCAGCGTCAGTGTGATAGTGTCGTACGTCGAGTGCGTTCTGATGGTGGGACTGAGTTTAACAACAAATCACTTCTAGGATTTTTCGGAAACTCGGAGTGAAATACGAGAAGTCAAATCAAAACTCATCGGAAGAGAATGACTCTGTTGAGAAGGACCATCAAAGCAAGTTTGCCAAGGTCAGGTGAATGCTATTAGATGCTGACATGCCGTCAAATGGTGGCCTGAGGCACTTATGTATGCCACGTACCTTAAAAATAGGACATCATCTCACAGACTTGATGACAAAACACCCTTCGATGTACTACATGGTGAAGTACCTGATGTGAGTAATATCATACCTTGGGGAGCCATCTGCTATGCGCATATTTCAAAGGAATTACGAATGGACAAGAAATTGGAAAGTCGTGTGTTAAAATGTCGCCTTTTTGGTGTGGAAGAGGACTACAAAGGATATCGTCTGCTGGATATACATAATAATTCTGATTTCGAGGGATGTCACCTTTGACCACGAACACGCCCGAGCGATTGCAGAGAAAGCATACGCTGACGTGGCAACCCCATTGACTAGCACTGAACTTCGTGCTGTTGACCTACTTCAACCACCAGAAAGTCATGAAAGTGGTTGTCAAAGTGAATCTAATTTTGTGTCACCCGATTACGCACATTCTGACTCGTCTGTGGATATCGCTATTTCATCCTGTGCACTGGCAGACGTTCCGGTTGAGCATCATTTAGACGTAAATGATCACACTACAGAACTTAAATTGGATGGTAAACGAAGTATCCTAACAATGTGGAGCGATATACAAATCATTGACATTCTCATAAACGTGCTCGTTCTGCTGATTCTAGTGTTAGTGGGAACAATTCGTTCGTCGAGGACACCACTGTTCAACCGCTTCCTCGTCATGTACGCAGTAAGGTAAGCCATCGCATTACATTGATTATAATTGTAATGCGTCGTCTCGAAGTCATCGCGACGAGGTCGTACTTCCTGACGTTCACCCGCGAGTTGAGCATCTCGATTCCAGTCAAGCCCTAAACCTCCTTGAAGTTGGACTACAACAACTGGAAAATAATGTACTAGTTCATGACGTCAATGTTGGACATATCTCCAATCAACCAATTGATTCAAATCGTATCCCAATTCCACGATCATTAAAAGAAGCATTATCTGGAAATTATAGCTCTCAATGCCGTGCAGCAATTGACGATAAATGCAATTCGTGTATTGACAATGGTACATGGAAATTGTGTGAACTTCCACCTGGGCGGCAGGCTCTGCCTACCATTGAGTGTTTACCGTGAAATACCACTCAAATGGTACACTTGACAGATTCAAAGCCCGTCTTGTAGCACAAGGCTGTCACCAAGAATACGGAGTAGACTGCGATGATGTATACGCTCCAGTTGCTCGCTTTGAATCCTGAAGACCTGTTCTAGCCATCGGTGTTATCTTTGACTGCATCATAAAGCAAATGGACGTACGCACCGCGTGTTTGAATGGTGCTATTCACCGGGTACTGAGTTGTACATGCGACAAGCCCCCGGGTATATCAAAGGTCACGACAAACATATGGTCTACAAACTGATCAAGATAATCTACGGACTCAAATATGCGCCACGTATTTGGTACCAAATGCTACATGAGGTCCTGACATCCATCGGTTTTTAACATTGCAGCAAGGAGTACTGCTTGTACAGTATGTTCAAAAAGTGGGAGATAGTGGAATTGATTGGATTATTATACTGATTTCCCTCCCTGTTTAGAACGGCAAAATCGAACAGTTTGCACAGTATATTAAGTTTTGCAGTTATACTTTTATGGAACACTACTTTGGCATGGCTACTGTATGCACTCGATGTTGCTTGACTGATCGAAACGAATGGTTGACCAATACGGTATGAAAAGTACAATCAAGTCATGCTGCAGTACCTGGGCAGAATAAAGTGATGTTTCTTTACTGTTATTACGGTGCTGTTCCTGGCTTGTTGTGCCGCAATATTAGGCGTTAACGTTAGTGGAGAAATTTTGCTGAGGATTCGTCAATGTGGTTGACTTGGAATCGTTACGATGCTACTGTACCGTACACACGTCCCATTGTGCAACTCATATTGTCAAAGCACGAGTTGAAAGGCCTACATTCCTCAACATAAGCTTACATGGCATTGGCCACTTGTAAGATGACTCTGAAGTTATCAAGTTACGATTGATACTGCCGCTCGTGCTCCTAAGCCACCCTCTTCGAGATCGCAATGGACCATGATTATATGCTGAGCGTATCTCCATTCCTGGGCCTTGATGGCGTAAATGATTCAAGTTGGCGGCACATACAGTACTGGCACGATGAGTCAACCATTGAAGAAACCTCGATTTCATATATATTATTAGTTTATAAAAATTATCGAAAATAGCCCGTTCGAAACTGGGAGGAAAATCAGTAGTTGTCTACGTTGACGATCTCACCATTCTCGCAAAGATCCAAGTTTTATGTGATAACAGTCCACGACAGCACCGAGGAAACTTAACGGATCCTTATCCGGTTTCATCAAGTGTGAAAGTACGCGTCAGAGGCAACAAACTGCGTAAAACAATAGCAAATTTTGGCACCAAATTACAAAAACTTATGCAATTATACAATTTCAAAGTCCTAAAATCCAGCGTCGTTCGCTGAGTCTTGAGAAGTCGAACTGGACTCGGTACCGTCCGATGCGTCGCCTGCCACTTCATTGTCCTCTTGGTAGTTGTCGTCGTCAACGATTGACACATGTCTATGTGGATCTAACAGGTCGTACTCGGCCTTTCGAATGCAACCAAAGATAGAGTGCGACGTCAAGTTGGTGCACGCTGCATCCAGCCGCTGGCCAACTTCCTGAAATGTTGTGTCGTCTTGGTACTGTCTTCCTACGTTTCCTTTTATGATAGCACACACAACATCGATAGGATGCAAGTTGGAATGACGTGGAGGGCTGAATTACACTTCGTGACCGGCAGCTTCAGCCATGACGACTGTCACCGGTTTGATCCCGTCCATAAACGGTTGAATTTGGCCCACAACACGACTTCAAGTCCGATGGCGTCCAATCTAGGCCGAAGCGATCACAAGGTATCTGTAATTCGACCTTCCGCGATCGGAATGCCGGCGTCTCAGCGGGACGGCATTTGAGGTAAGCTGCGTTGCCCATCACAATAATTGTGTTTTGTAGATTACGTGCTGCCAGTTCGTCTAGCAATCGCTGGAACCACGTGAGGCAATACTCGTGATTAAATATGCCGTGGTAGTCCTTGGGTTGTTTGGCCGACACCAACGACCTTGTCATAGGCAATGAAGATTGAATTTTCCCCGCCGCCATCAACGATTGCTCCAATGAAGCAGTATCGCTTGCCTTTGTGCTTGGCCTTTGGCTGAATATCCAACTCGTCGGTAGGGTCATGCAGCAAAATGTTGTTTTTGTTGTAGTGATGATGAAAAAAGCTTTCGTCTGTGTAGACAACTTTTCTGCGGTTGCGTGGATCGTTATGTTGCGTGGCTGCGCACATACGTCTGACATATAGGTCACGCAACAAGGTGTTCTTTTAAGTCAACGCCAGGGAATTTTTCCCCTTCTTGTTGCCACGGTTGTAGCCACAATGCAAAAGAAACCGCTGGACATTCCGCAATGCAGATTCGGACGCCAGCTTGTCCGTGCGGTCGACCAGAAGGACACCACTGTTTGCCAAATGCGACAATACATCGATAGCAACAACACGAGCTCGAAGTTGCCTCTTCTCGCGGACAAACTTTTGGACGGACGATATGACATCGATCGTTCGTGGGATGCGTGTTGATTTGGCGGTAGTGTTGGTCGGTGTAGAAGCAACAACGATAGATTTTGATTCATTGTAGTCCTTCCATACACTCTGTACTTGTCGTTTACCACGACCAAGCATCACTGAGATTTGTTTTGAGATGTCGCCAGTTGTGTGGTTAGTTGCATGTTCGAGCCGTAGATGCGCGTGCAGACGTAGTATATCCAGTCTTTCATCCCTCGACAAGATGCGGCTTCGATTTGCCTGCACAAAGCTCATCGAATGCCGCGGGTAGATGTCATGCTGTCGACCAAAACGAACTTGAAATACATGGAATCAGTAAAATCAATGGAGCCAGTGCACCATTATATAATAGTGGTGATGGAAATTTTAAAACCTCTACCATATTATATTGGATTTCGACGATCAAAATATGATTAATTATAGGTGATTCGATTTCTTTTAAAGTTACATATATGACAGGATATGTTGTTTCAAAGTATTTCAATGCCAGCTTTTTTATACGCATGTTTTGGGGTAAAATACTGCAAAATCCGGCATTTTTTCAGTGAATGCCAGCTTAAGCTCCCTCGGTGCTGTCGTGGACTGTAAGTTACAATCTCAACTGAGCCAAAATTTTAAAATGAAAGATTTAGGCGATCTCAATTACATAAGGTAACGCATCGAAATCGCGAACACTTTTTGGGTCGTGTCAAGTCTAATTTTTGATGCAACATATCTCTGGAAATCCGTGGAATTTCGCAAATCTAAAGGCATGGTAGGAAAATATAATTCGAGCACTATTTTATAGTTCCTATTAGATCATAAAACAACTGAATGTGTTGTTTGTAATGGATTATTGAGGCAGTCATAAAAGTCGGAATGACTGGTTGTGATTTTCTAAATCGCGAACAGCGTGTATCTTGATTTTAGTATTGAGGAATAAAAATATGCACAATTTATGTTTATTTTATTGCTGTTCGCGATTTCGATGCGTTACCTTAAGGTGATTCATGTAATTTCCGCCCACCATGTAATTTCCGCCCAGTTGGCAGCCAATCACAATCATCGAACGAAGATGATTGGATAAAATCAGGTACTCAGGTAAATAATACCCTTAGCATTTAATATTTGATTTCTTTCATATCGCATGTAATCTCATAATTACAATGGCTTATAAATAGAATACCTTGTACACTTAATAAATATTACTATTAAGAGGTTCTGAGAATTTCGGTGGTCAAATCTGTCATACATTATTCAAGTCAAACACCTGGGCGGAATTTACATTTACATAGGAAAATTACAGAATTGAAAAATTCGTCGAGCAAAATGGACAAGCGATACAACGATGGTTCCTGCATAAACTAATAAAGCTCCTCATGACCTTGAGAATGCATGTTTTTGCAGCATCATCACACACACGGGCGACGAGTTACGAGACTTCAAAAGTAGGACAAGCTGGGCGGAAATTGCATGAAACACCTTACTCAAAATTCGTGTAACGAGGAATCGGTCGCAGAAAACGATGGCACTTTCACAAGAAAAGTTCATTAAGGATCTCAAATATTTGAGTTGTTACAATAGTTGTTATTGGGAAGCAGTCCTGAGAGCTCTAACAGACTTGAAAGAGACGTCTGCATATGGATTTCTAATTGACGGAAAGCAAGCAGATGTTTCCTTTGAAGTCTACGCAGACGCAAGTTTCGCGACTCAACAAAAAGAGTGTAAATCCATCACTGGTTATCTTGTCATATTTGCTGGAGTCTGCATCTCGTGGTGCAGTAACAAGCAAGCTTGTTTTTCAGCTTCTACTACAGAATCTGAGTTGGTTGCATTAAGCGAAGGCGTTAAAGAATTCGAGTGGGTCCGTCATCTTCTTATAGAGATGGGATTTCAACCACCATGCCCCATAGTTATCTGGTGTGATAGCACAGCTGCAATTGACATTATTAATAATCCTGGAAATCACAAGGCAACTAAGCACATCGAGACAAGGTATCTATTTGCTCGAGACTTAGTTGAGAAAGAAAGAATCAAAGTCCAATACAGCAAGACAGAGGAAATGCTCGCAGATCTTCTAAAGGAGGCACTACCTGTCCAGCAATTCGAGTTCTTTCGCCATGCCATGGGAGTTCGTAACTTGAAGAAGAATCATGTGTGACTTACGCCTGTTGCTGCACGTTGTCCACCTGTGTCACCCAACTGGACAAGTGGGATTGTCGGATAATACTATTTATCCGGAATAATGGAATACAGGTTATGTGCCATCATGAGAATTGATCAATTAACGTGTGATGTAGAGCATGTGATACGCACGTGTGTTGTATGTTTTAGCCAATCAGATCGTGGCAGCAGACTAATGGCTATCTGCGTGCATTGGTTGTGATGTGAAGAGGATTATAAAAATAATGGTTCACAACTCAATTTACCACCTCCGAACTGAGCCTCTCTGCTTGTTTGTGTGTGTCGATTGATTTAGCTCAGCGTGACACGCATTGCTTGAATTTATCTGATACTTGCCATGGGAATTTGTTGGAAGCAAGCTGGATGTAGACTCGACCGATGTTTTCAACGCTTCAAGACCTTGTTTGGGAACGTATGGAAAAGCAACGTCAGGCATTCATTCATCGCTGCTGAAAACTGTGCAACTAACGTGTCAATTGAGGTGAAATTTGAGGTACCTGTTTGGGGTGCTATTCACAAAAGTTCAACTTGGCATGAGTCCTGCCTCTCGGGCTTCGTGGACAAGCTATCGGTGGTTGATTAGCTGTGATGCGCCTTCGTCGGCTTCGTCCAGCTTGCAAACTTAAATGCTTCACGCATTTCAAACATGAAAGACGAAACGTCACGCTTGTATTCTAGGCGATGACTTTGATTCCAAGAAGCAACATATCACGTAGAAACCGAACCTTGCCCAAGAAGTCCTACCACTCCGTATACCGACTGAAGAATAGATCGCAAGGAAAGGTACCTACTACAGTGTACTTTCAGGGTCATGTTTGACTCATGGACTCACCAAATGGCCACGATACATGTCCTGTGCGTGCGACGAATGACGTGTTTGACATCAAGGCTACACCAACGGACTTTGTCGACCATGGTTTAAGTCGCTAAATGAAGTACATGCACCTCGTCGTGGAACTGTCAGATACATGCTGTCCACCTTGAAATTGTTACGAAAAAACTATTATAGATATGCAATTTCCCCTTGGCGTCGTTGGGCCTTGACATTGTTGATAATCCTTCGAAATAACTAAAAGCGTCATTGTATCCATATGCATCATGCATCCGTACGAACCACGAGTTTATAAGGCATGCATGTAACGTGAGTTGAGAGAATCGCTAACTTGTACCAATTCTCAGAAGTTGTTCGTAAACCGGCACTATATTAGGGTTATACGAAGCACATGCACGTGCTATTGTATGAGACATAATGTACTTGGAGAGGGATATTTGTCATATGCGAAGCACGTGCTTGTTTGCTTCCCTAACTAGGGTCAGACCTAGGAGATCGATTTCGTACAGAAGGCTGTGCTTTGTGCGCTTACCCAAAGGTGTCATCGTAGGCACACATGATACTTCGCACACTATTGTAGAGTACATCACCATCGTAACCTCGTTCCATATTTCTTTCGGAAACACCTAGCCAATCACTGTTGACTACTTTTGCTGGAAAAACGTAGGACTCCCGCCAACAAACTTCATGTAAAACAAAGCACGTGTTATTGTGCTTACGAAAATTTTGGGAGGTGACTGGATGCCACGAAAGTGTCATAAAATGGCCGTTTTTCGAAGAAAAAACCCCAAAATCGTAGTATTCCATTTCTCGAGGTATTGTTCTTCTGGATTACATCAAGTTAAAAAAATATATCAAGTTAAAAAAATATACTTAGGGGAAGTTCCAAGTAGTTTTCAGAAACAGCATGAGCCAATCAAAATCGATTTACCTCTTTTTTTCACGATTTAGAAAAAGACGTCAAGGACCTCTTTTTCTACTTTTGGTATAGTGAGTTGCGTAAAAAGTCGAACACAAGAGGTAAAAAAGTAGGAAACTGTACTTGGTACCAAGTTTTCATTTTGCTAAAAATATCTACTACCTCTGTCCGGAATTGCTTGCCTCAATGCCATTTTCAAGAGTTTTGTTTTGTGAATGCAGCTCCATCAAGATAGGGTTTTGTTTAATCAAATGGCACACTTTTAAATAGGTATTTTGAGAGGCATCCAACGATGTGAGAATGCAGCACTATTTCAGAATACCCTAAAAGATATCCGGGAAATTAAATGGGAATGATAGTCAATTTTCACTGCATACGAGCATCTCCAACTGTGTTTTTATTTCAATTTCAACTCGAAGTTACGGATATAGAATAGAAACTCTTGCACTATCCGGAGGGTTTGTTGTTATTTCACGCGAAAATGGAAATTCTGCATAACATAATTTCTAGAATATCCGGATAATGCCAAAATAGCAACCGTAAAAACGAAGTTTGACTTTAACCTATGCTTTAGCAATAGGTTAGAATTTACCGTTGGAGTTGCTCTAACACGTAAAGTTTTTATAATCTAATGTTTGAACATTGAGATGAATATCGGATATTAAAGGTTTACGGTGTATTTGTGGTAAAGTAATTTCCCCCCAAACTTGTATAAACCGATAAAGTGTACCGTAAAATGGCATTGAGACAAGCAATTCCGGACAGATGTAGTACTTGGAACAGGCCCTTACCGCATCTATCTATTTTATAGCGTAATCAAGATTGTACAACTTTTTCATGGAGGTTTGTGTATACCTTGAAGTCTTTCACTTCACAGTTCGCGGCAGCAACGAACTGCTGTTCTTTTTTCGCCTTCATACCCGACCCGCCCCCCACACGAACTAGGTGTAAAGAAAAAAGAGGGGTCTAAAACCCGCTTTTTCAGTAAAATCGGGCCCTTTAAAATTGTCAATCAGAAATCATACGATTGTGGATACTTCTTTTCTCCTTTTTGTCGATACTTCTTTTCACCTTTTTTTCATGGATATGAATGATACTGTGGGAAATTTCACGTTATTTTTACGGGATATGAGACTTTAGAATTTTTTTGCAGATCTGCCTGGAAGATTGCACGTTTTATGTATCAGTCGAAAATGTTTCGAACGTTTGATTTTTTTATTGGCACTTTGATTAGAATAACGTAGCACTTTGACCGGGAAAATGTGTATTATGACTCTTAGCAACGTTGCCGACAAAGCAGCGGACAACGGTTATAATATCCGGTAATCCTGTTTCCGGATACGGATATTGGTTGATATTATACGAGCTGTTGTATTGGTTTTACAATAAAGTTGCCCTTTGATTGGCGGAAATTTGTCAAAATCCATACTTAATCAAGTATAAATATAATCAAGTGTAATATATCTTTAAACCAGTAAATGACTGGCTTCCTGTATACCTGCCATATTTCCAATTTGATCATGTCAATTCGGAAATAGTTATACAAATAATCAATACAAGGGACTTCACGAACTCACCTTGCAGAATATCAAAAGAATGAGTTCGTGTCAAAAATCGTTAGTTTCCGAAATGACCAAGTTACTGATTATTTACTGCACCACTGATCAATAACATACTTGATGAAAAAATCAACGAATTTAGAGGCCAAACTACTAGAAGCTCATGAAGGAAGCCTCGAGATACGACCGATCACGAATGGTCTGGTCTTGGGGGCGATTAAGGACAGCGTTGGCGTTGATGGGCATTGCGATGCAAATTTAATTGTGGGGTCGGCACGAAGTTGGTTGACTTGCCAACCTGACGGGCATTTTGATTTATTTTGGTGGCAAACATGTAGTTAAATTTACGTATAGGGGTTGTTGAAAGTCAAGTTGTTTAACAGTAAATAGCTATGCCAAACTTAATCTCCTTAAATAGTACATTTTGACGAATCTCTGCAATAGCAACTTATCGTCCAGCCTCTACATGAAAACAACTCATTTTAGATAATTCTTGTTGGTCACATTTTTATACACGTTTAATTGATATAGCGTGTCACAGTAGTGGAAATTATGCGGCGTTGTTCGGAAGTACATGCTACATTCAGCAAAGACTGCTAGCATCAATCTGAATGGCAAAGCTCACTGCACACATAGGTGCCCTTATGAATACTCCTTCGAATGTATTTAATCGTATTTTTGCCTTTGGTACTTCGAGATTGAGGAAGGTATTTGACCTCGTAAATCGACAGTACCATATGTGAAGAATCAGCAACACCATTACTTCCCAATTGCCAACGTAATACGGATAGTTGTCAAACTTCAAGTCAGACATACACCAATTGATCAGTTGCTCAATCTATGACCAAGTGATCGGTTATAATATATACACCCCCTATTATATACCAGTACCATATATGTCTGTCAACGAACAGTAAGGCATAAATTCATCCCAAGATCTAATGTATCTGTCAAATTAGCCTTTTGAAATATTCAATTAGTTATACGATGTCACGTTCCAACTCTTCATGTAGATGTAAATGTGATGGCAGGATGCTACATTAGTCTAATTTGGCTGTATAACATGCACTACTAGTACTTACTGTGGAATTCATGTTATTGCCTGTCAACTATCAGCTACAGTACCTTCAGAATGAAACGACTAAGACTGAAGTTGGAGTAGCACGTAAACGGGCCATTGCCGTTTTCGCGTTTGTGTTTGGTTGTTCGAGTAGTGGTTGCAATTCCACCGGCGGTAAAACCACGGTCGTCGCTGGGGCATCAAACACTACTGCACCATAAAGGTACAGCATGTTGTGGCGCCTAGTGTCACCGGATGCATAGCAAGTTCGCGTTTGGAGGTCGTCGATCGGAGCGTCATTGTCTGCCGACAAAATAAACAGGCAGCACACAAGAGCCAGAAACTCGGCGCTCGGTGAAAACGATTTGCCCAGGTAGCAATAGGGCTGTGGGACCTTCACTAGAAACGCCTCTGCTTCATACAATGAGTCAATTAACGCCACAACAGTTACAATGGAAGATTCTTCCTGCGGCCAGGAACACTGACGCGTCGCTTCGGCTCCTGTGTCGCTGGACAGTCGTCGGCTTTTCGATTTGCTTGCTTCATGTAAATTTTAACATTGACGACTAGCAAAAAACATATTTATTACTTCAACAAAACACGATTGGTTGAATGTTCTGTTAACTGTGCTGCCGTGCTGGGAGCTCATCGTATACCTTTACGGCAAGACGACGATGCTTCGAAACTTGAACCTCGAGGGTCTTCTCACACGCAATTACGTGTCGTTGCAGGTCGTGAACCTGATATTCCAAGACATGTCTTGGGACATCGATGGACAGCACGGAGTACCGGCGGTCGTTGGCGAGTCTCCAGGAGGTGTTTTTGGCTAATTGAAGACATTTTTGGCGCATCTGAATTAACTTTGACGGGGGAGGGTGGAGTGCTCAATCCAATTCGCTCAGTTCACAACGTAGGTCTAAATACTCAGATGATCGTTGCTGCCCTTCATCGGCAAGTAGCAAATCTTGTACTTTTTGCCTTGAAGCGACTCACACTGTACAAAGTGTAGTCGCCAGGGTGTGCTTTAAGAATTCACCGCCAGCCATGCCAAAAACGCCAAAATTCCCCTGTTCCATCGCTGAGTTCGCGAATACCAGGTAGCTGAGCAACAAGCGACGGGCAGAGGCCAGCATGCTTGGAATCCATGAGTGTAGACGTCGTCAAAGCAATAATGATGGAGTGATCTGTGTCGCTCACGAGGTTCTATTTCTGATGCACATGCGTATCTTGCATCAGGTCATTAAAGTCCGCACGCACTTGCTGATCAGAGTTCGAACCAGTGTCGAATGACTGTACGTTACATTGAATGACTACCAAAATTCTCGCAAGTGCTTCTCGCATCTAAATTTGTGAGTCTGGAAAACGCATGTTTTTTAAACCTACGAGGGCTGCGCACAGAAAAAGAAACCTTGGCGCCACCATTATTCACACAAAACGAAATCGAATCATTGATACAATTGGACAAAACAAATTTCATACTCAAACTCGATTGATTCAAAATTCTTGGTGGTGGATCGTCGTAGAGTTGCACGTAATTATTTTGATCTCGCCTTGGGCACGGAATGTCAAAAAGGGCATCATTAAATTGCAAAACGTGTTGTGGAGAACAAAACAAGCGGTGACGACGCAGACGGTACGGTCGAGAGTGTTTTCTTTCATGGGAGTCTTCAATATTCGAAACCGTTCCATGAGTCGCCCGAAGGCACATTCGACTGTCATTCTGGTGCTGGAGTGCTTAAAGTTTAAATTCTTTTGCATACTCGACAGTTTTCCACCCTCTTTGTGCGGCAAAAATGGGGTAATCAACCATGGAAGCAACGTGTAACCGGCATCACCAATGGTAAAGCAGCCCACGGGTATTTTATCACCAATCGTTCGGCCTAAATTTAGCGACAAGCATTAGAAGTGATTTTGCAGCGTAATGAAAATCATGAATTGACTGACCTAATTTTGACGTTTTCCATATTTTTTATTGGAGTATGATCCAGGACGAATTTCCATGGAGAAAAACTTCAGCTTAGCATCGACCAGAACTTGGATGTTGAGGGAGGGGTCGCCGTTTGTAAAAACTGTCGAAATAGCCAGGCCGATAAATGTCGACCAAGGTCGCATCGACAGCTCCAACAAAACCAGGGATGTTTTGTTTGGAAAGAAATTCCATTTTAACTTGGACCCAGTCTGACGCAGCCTGGGGCAGTTTTATCCATGATTTTGCATAGGCAGCCAAAATTGTGATAAAATGATGCACTGTTTCCACACACCAGGACTTTGAGATGGCAAACGCAGCACCAGTTTCGCGATATACACCCTCGGAACCAAGAAAGTAGGGCAACACCGCAAACTTTGTTTCAAACGAGTGGGGCGACGAACGACGGCATAAATCGGGCTGAACAGCACGAAACCATGACACAAGCCAAGAAAAGGTACCTTAGCTACAACGGAGATCGGTCTCGAACCACTGATTAAACTGCGGCTTGTCGAGCTGAGGTTGGGAAAGAGTAATTTGTATTGGAATATATTCATTTAAAAGAATAAAATAAATTCTTCTGAAGTCTCTTCAAAAGAATAAATAATTCGTTTGCACTTCGAGAGAGAATAAGTATTGTCCTGGACCGCTACATCAAAATAAGTATTGAGTTTTCGAGAATTATTCTAACCTCCATTCAATTCAAAGTGCTGTAAACAAAGGCCATTCATTTCCGTGCAAATCGAATGCAACCACAGCCATAAACTTCACACATAGTTACAATCAAACCAAACAAACAAACACAATTCATTTTCATGACCAACGACAATAACCAACCAGTGCCCCTTCGCGGAAAACAACTCGCCGAGGTGTATTTTACACGTACCTTGCCTGAATCGACACTTTGGCTCTGTAAATATGAGAAGCGCCGCACACAAAACGGCACCGACGTCGCACATTGAGCGCGAACACCTCGAGTACCTCAAATATGACGCCGCAGCCCCGATTTCGGAGCAGAATCTGTTCATGCCCATGTCTCACGCAGTGTACGGTTGGCCGACCTGGATTACGTCGTCGCTGTTGCCCTTCAACTTTTGTGAAAACGACATGGCTCGCCGCTACTCGAACCTTGGTCCCATCAGCAACAAGACGCTCATGAAATGGATGCACCAAATGTGTCGTTGGTTGGAAGCGAAGCTAACGAAGACCTTGCCCGAGTCGTTTGCATGTGTATTTGATGCCTGGACAAGTGGGTCGACACATTACGTGGCGGTCTTTGCGTCGTTCCCAAGTGATTCGTTGCGTGAATACAAGAATGTGTTGCTCGAATTGTTGCCGATAAACGACGAAGATTCATTAGAGAGGTTTTGCAACCGTCCACTCCCATTCCCAAACTGCTAAAATGCTTCGGATTGTGACAATTGCGGTGGCAGTGGCAGCGCCCAGATTTGCGTTTTGCGACTGTCCACTTCCGTGAAATTCATCCGTATAATTAACCGGCTGATTTGAAAGCGCGCGAACACTTTGGCACCAGCGTCGTTCAGTGTGGCTGATGGTTCTGACGCAAATCGAGCTCCACCAGCTCCTGCCCTTGGCCCGTACAAGTCAACAACGCCGACGTATCCTCCTGCTGTGTGCCCTGGCCTATGTGGAACGTCCTCTTGTACCGGACATAAGATTCAATCTCAACCGTGTGCCCGATACAATGCTCGTCTTGACTTTCGTTTTGACGTTGCTGGAATAAAGCGCCTGGGATACCTGCTCGGACTACCTGACGTTGTCATAACCACACAACGCTATCGTGTCAACCGGGACGAGGCAATGTGCATTGTCCTGGGACGCCTGGTGTTTCCGACGCGCCTGCACACGATGTCTCGCACGCTTGGCTTTGGCAACAAGTCCCCAAACCTTCATGACTTCGCCATTCTTTGCTTCGAACGGTCTCTCCGCGTTTACCTGCCGAAGCAGCATGATATCTTCTTGTTCCGTGTACAGGCGGCGCTTGTTGGGTGTTTACATGACGGGTCCAATCGGATTTTGCTGCTGCCACCACTCAAACCCGCCTTGCAGGTTTGCTTGGAGGGTGCAATAAGATCCGATTGGACGCGACTTGGAAACACAGGCCCAATCAAAGTCCACCAAGTTCGCAGTGGACGGGAACAGCAGTCCGTGAGATTGCCACATCTCAGGGATTGGCGATTTGATCTGGCAGGTTCCATTGCGAGTCCACAACAAATTGCACAGGTAAACTTCCGGTTTTGTCACCATCTGACTTTCGGAATGGAAGTGGACGGTTGCAAAACCTCTCTATTGAGTGCTACAGCCTTCCTGGAGTTTTTTCGACTTTGTCCTCGATGTGTACGGCAAACAGCACCGGAATATGGTGACCTTGATCGGCGATAATTGCACCACGAACCGTGCATTTGCTCGCTTAGCTGGCATCCCTATGGTGGGTTGTGCCTCTCATCGGTTCAACTTGTTCGTCGGTGATGTTCTAGCCGACTATGAGGACCTGCTGTGTGCTGCACACGCCATCACGAAGAAGCTGTAGAACATCATTCCCGCTGCCAAGCTTCGCCGGTTGACACCAATGTGTCCCAAGCAGCGCAACAAGACACGATGGAGCTCATCGGTCGCCACGTTGGCTCTATATGTCGAGTTGAAACCATTCGTTCCCAACCCGGGCTAGACGACATTGATATGCTACTGCTTAACGGCCGACATTAGTCACAGTGAAAACATTGTACTTGTCCGCAGCACCGCCCAGCATGGTAGCGACAACAACGCACACGAAGGGTATCGTATATGCCGCAGCAACAACAGCGATCTGGTCAGCCTGCATTCGACAGTTCCAGTAGTAGATCATAGACATGAACGATTGTGTTCACCGACCATAAAATCAGGCAACATCCGAATATTGTTTATCCGTACAGACATGAAGCACCTCGGACATGAAGTGAAACGTTCCCCGACGAGGCCCTAAACACGTTTGACTGTGAGTTGAGACAGCGCAAAATACTCCTTAACTCAATAAGCCCTTTGAAATATAATTTCCAAAATGTTCCTATTTCAAATCGATTTGGAGATTCAAGTGCTGAATCTCCCTCAGCTCCAAATCGGAGGAATTTAGAAAAAGACGTGAAGGATCTCGTTTTCTACTTTTAACATAGTGAGTGGCGTAAAAAATTCGCAGAAGGTACTACTCTGGTCCACAAAAATGCTGACATTTGTAAAATCGTCCTTGAATATCACTTGATTTTTGTATCGGAAGAATTAAACTTGATGTTTGTATTGACTCTTGATAAGTTATATGTTGAGTAGATTCCAACTCGGACCATTCCGGATAGTTTCGAACTAATAGCAATTTGTATACACCTGTTTAAAATAATACCTTAATGATACCTTTGAAAAAAGTACACTCTTCAGCATTTTATACATTTCAAGCGTTGGATCGGACTTGGCGCCGATGGCGAGGAACCGTCTGCTGCTCGTGCTGATATGCCTTACTTACAGACCACGGATACTGTTGTGCGAAGATCAGTTCAATAGCTCCGTGACTCTTTTGTCGGAACCAAGCTCCCTCCTCCCTGTATTTCTACTAGGTATTCGCACACACTCCATCGCCCCAGCTCCTCGCCGTGCTTCGCGACTTTAGACGACCCTAACAAGGTGCAAAGGACTCTAAACATGACTAGGGTATAGCCAAGATGCTTTGTGGTGCCTGGAGGGTGCGTGTGGCGTCAGAAGTGTAGTCATAAACTTTGTACACTTCATAATTCTCTGGTCGTGAAACATGAAACTTTGGTGCCAGATATATTTTGAACCACAACTCTGTTGAATGCGCATTTATAGTCCAATCAAAGCCCTTGGTTTCCTCAATTCGAAAAGCCAATCAGATTGTGCATAGCTCCAATTGAAAGTAAAAGTCAGGATTATTCCGGACCAGAGTAGTAAAAAAGTAGGAAACTGTACTTGAAACCACTATTTCATTTGCTAAAAGTATCTACTTGGAACTAGCCCTTATAGGGGAGTTCCTAGTATTGTGCTTTTCACCCAATTTGCCCATTGTTTTATCGCACTAATCAATGGATGACAAAATTAAAACCACACGTTAAACAACGCAAATCGAGAGTCTGGCACATGAGCTAAATATAGACAGGTCGTTATTTACTGGACCATCTCACTCGCAAAGTGGACGTGACCAATATGGAGCGCGATCGATTGAACGTCGCGTTCCCATCGTGTTGAATCTTGTTACGCTACGTCGTAAGAGTCCAAGTGTGAGGCGAACGGCGTCAACTTCAATGCCATAAACTTGGACAAGCACAACACATCTCCAACGCATGTCGATGCTGATCATTGTAAAACAAGTTGAATAAGATAAAACCGTGCACCTCCACCAATTCTTAGCCAATCAAAGCAGTTATAATTCAACGCGAACGGTAAAAATACTTCATCTTGCATCCGTAAAATCACGGGGAGTGCCGTAAATATAGGATGAGTTTTTATTAAAGCATGGTTTTAGACCTGGATTAGCCAAAACAGGTGAAAAGCACAATAGTTTTCAGAAATAGCATGAGCCAATCAAAATCGATTTACCTTTTTTTTCAACGATTTAGAAAAAGAGTCAAGGACCTCTTTTTCTATTTTTGGTATAGTGAGTTGCGTAAAAAATCGCACAAAAAGAGGTAAAAAAGTAGGAAACTGTACATGGATCCAATTTTTAATTTTGCTAACAGTAAAAATATCTACTAAAACTGGATCCAAGTACAGTAGGAAACTGTACTTGGATCCAATTATTAATTTTGCTAACAGTAAAAATATCTACTGGAGTACTTGGAACTGGCCCTAACGAAGTTTGCAACTTGACACCAACTTTTCCATTTTAAAAAGGAAAATTAATTGTCCGCTGTGGGATTTGAACCCACGCGTACGAATACATCACGACCTGAACGTGACCCCTTAGACCACTCGGGCAAACGGACTTATCTTCCTTGATAAGTTATATATATTTATTTAAGCCCTAAATATATTAATTGTACCTACTCGGGGCACTTTGGAATGGCGAACCTCAAGGATTTGCGGTTGCGGGTGGCATCGTCGGCAGGGTCGTTGTCGGCACAGATTTTCCACATTGCAGGGCACTTGCATCGACATGGCGTCATCACTGGCATTGGGAAGGCCTTGCTCAAGGGTAAGTACCCTCCAGACAATCGTTGTTCGTAACCAGCAGCACGAATGTATCGTAGAGATTGTCTTTCAAAAGGATGTGCGAGGCCCTAAGCTCGTGGATAGTCTATTGACGAGTTCGGACGAGCATTGGCTCAAGTTTCTTCATCGACTGATCGGTTCGTTCCTTGTGTCCTTCCTCGTCATCCATGATCTTGTAGACGTGGAAACGCTTAAGCTGTTCGATTCGTTGTACTTGACATGATCCTGTAGACGTGGAAACGCTTAGCTGTTCGATTCGTTGTACTTGACATGATCCTGTAGACGTGGAAACGCTTAAGCTGTTCGATTCGTTGTACTTGGACTGCGGCTTGGAGCACGGCAAGGCGATCTCCCGTCAAGAGCGCGAGGAGAACGACATGCTCAACCAAAAGGTGTCCACTTCTCACGCTTATCATGTGTTCTCATGAGTCCCAGTCGCTTATCTATGGGGAAGTGGACTACCTGGCGTTCCTTTCGACTTTGAGGAAGATTCCCATTCAGCCGGGTTGGACCTTTGTCGATCTGGGCAGCGGCACCGGTCGAGCAGTGTTCATCGCACGACTCAACTTTGACTTTTCTCGGTACTGTGCATGTCCATCTTATGTCCATAAACATGATTCCAGGTGCACGGGCATCGAGATCCTGCGCGGCCTCCACGACGCCGCCGCCGACGTCTGCTCCAACTACAACGAGTTCGTCCGGTCCGTGATCAGCACGACCCGCTCGCCCCTGGACGCATCCTTCTTCCACAGCTCGCTGCTCGACCTGGACTGGGCCCACGCCGACGTTTGCTTTGCCAACTCCACATGCTTCGACTCGACGCTCATCGCCGAGATGGCGGACAAGGCGGCGAACATGCGGTCTGGAAGCTACTTGATCACATTCACCAAGCCGTTGCCGCCCGACACTCCCTTTGACATCATCGACAAGGAGCGCCGCAAGATGAGCTGGGGCCCCGCCACCGTGTACATCCATCAACGCCGTTAATTAGTAGTTTGGACGATTGTTTAGTTAGTTTTTTTGCCCAAAATGTATACTAAATGACAATACCGCTTGTCAAGACACTTGGGCCGCCCACGCTTGGACTTAATGCGACAGAGTTTACTTAGCTGTAACCCCTAAACCCCGCTTGTATCGTGTAGAGTCGTCAACTCTAGTGGTCTGCGATACAGGGTATGTACATGTATTCTGACCATATGGTTTGCATATATTTGCACTAGATAGGACATCTCACACTGCAAAACGACTACGGAGCCCCCTTCGTCTAACGTTAGTGTATCGAGCTATGATTAGTATTGATCTTTGAGCTTGGTAGTTGTGGAGTTAGTGTAGCTATTAATAGTTGTGACTTCATCTACTAGCTACCGCAGCCGAAGCTTGAGTTGGTTGATGGTCTTGTCAACGGTATGCAAACTGGACTCAATCTCGGCCTTGCGCCTTCTTGAGTGCATGGTTCGGAAACCCATTTGGTCGAGCTTGGAGTACTCTGCGTGCAGAGTTTCCCTCTGGATATGCCAGTGCAGCAGCTGCCCCTCCAGCTCCCGTCTGGCCACGACGTCGTCCTGGAACGACTGCTTCTCCGTAGCAAATGGCGCGTTGAATTGGACTCGATTCGGAAACAAGTCGGCGCTGGTACTAGTTACGGAAGGCCGGTCGTAGCTGAGCAAGTTGCGCACGTTCGTAGAGCTGTTCAGCTCATCTGCCTTGCGACTGGTCAACTGGCCAAACCCCAAATCTGCCAGCGATTTGGGTCGTTCTTTTCCTGCAAGCTGCATGTCCACTGGCAGTCCGGTACTTCTTGAAGTCTTTTCAGGGGAAAGCGCAGTGGGCAGCAGTGCAGGGGGGGGTGACGGAGGCACTGGAGGTCGCACTTCCAGAGGGCTGCTGCTGCTGTTGGTGCTCCGACGACCGAGTTCAAATTGCACTTTGGCGTAATCTTTGCGCATCCGTTCCATTTCCAGTGCATTTTGCCTGAGTTTGTCCTTGAGAGTATCGTGCGCGACGGAAAGATCGTGGAATTGTTCATGCAGAGTCCGAAGTTCGTGGGATTTGGCAGTCAAGGCGTCCCCGTCAACTTGACTTGCTCGCTCTTTTTGTGCCAACTTTGCAACCAAGTTGTCCACTTTGGCCTAATCGCACGCGAAGTCACGACCTTATTCTATATTGAGCACTTGTATACCTCCAAGATAGAAATGATCTTCTTCTGGTCAATGTCTTCATCGCGTAGAGCTCGCACCTACCCCATCGTGATGGTTTTGTATGAGTTACGAGTATTTTTGTACCTACCTGGGCTGCTTTTACTTGGAGTTGCTCTGTGAGTGCATTCTGAGCTTCCTGCACCTGATTGCGCAGTGTATATTGAGTTTGCTCCAGCGTGGCCACCTACCAATACATATCGTCATCTTTTTCAGTGGTGTACACCATACTGTATATAACTACCTACCTACCTACCTGTGCGAGTGTCGTGTGAAGCTGGGCTTTGAGTCTGGACTGGTCGTCCTCCACTGACCGAAGCTCCACCGCGTGGTTACTGGACATGTCATGCAGCCGAACAGTCATTGCCTTGAGTTTCATCTCCAGCGTTGAGCACTTGGACTGATGCTCCATCTCACGACTTTCTAGCTCCTGGATCTTCGACTGCAATGCAAGGAACATGGCAGGGGTGTCATTGGGTGCAGTTGTGACAGTTCTGACAGTCTCAACTGGCCCAATAGGGTCGACGGCTTTGGCTGGAGGTATGTCTTCCTTGAACATATCCAGCAACGATATCGAAGGAATACGATGGGCATCCGGTGGAAACGTTGAGAGGGGCTGACGATGTAACACGGCGTGCTGCGGGGTCATCACGGAGTCCATGGGAACTCGCAAAACAGCTCGGATGGTCGGGTGCGGTGGCGGCGAAGATGTCGTTGTTGGCATAGAGGTGAGTGGTTCGGGCACGGCTCGGCGCTGTGGGGGAAGGGTTACCGGAAAGACCCACGACGACGATGACTGCAACTCTAACTCCACTGGAAGGTAAGAAGCCTCCCTAGTCGAGTTCGTATCGGATGTGAGGTCGAGGTGGTTGGTCGCAGGCATTGGATTGTGGGGGCTATGTGCATCTGAAGCCAGGTCCTGCAGGCTAATCACCGATTCCATGTCATCTGCATACTCCCTTGGTCTGTACTCGGACAAACACAGGCTTCGCCAAGACACACAGTCATCGTCGTCGCTCCAATACTCGGACATCGTTTCGATGCTGCTTGCAACTTGTCCCTTCAAGATCGTATTATCCGGAATTTTCATTTTATCCGAAAATGCTAGCACAAAATGATGCTGTCACCGCGATGGTCGACCTTGACAAGTGCGACGCCATCGTCGTGGGCGGTGACTGTATGGACACCAGAGAAGGATGAGCACTTAGCTGCGTATGTGTCCTCCTCCATCCGCGCGAGCCTGGAGGCATCCACCGAAGAAGTGGACCAAGACCTGGAGCGAGCAGTGTATGCTACTCGATTTCCACTCGGGGTGAATTGGAAAGCACTATCGCTGGAGCTGGACTGCAGCCCCATGGACTGCGTCCGCCGTTACGCGGAGCTAAAGACTCCACATGTCCCCTCGGAAGAAGAGGTTCGTGTGGTGCATTCGCCTCGTTTGGACGAACTGCTCTCTTCGTCGCATCGGTCGTCGAGTCCAATGCTGTCCCCCCCGCCGTTTGCACTGCGCAGTGAGCACCGCAATAGTCCATTCATTTGGGAAGACGTAAGCAGCAGCAACGATAACATCTCGTTGGACGACTCAGAAGACCTGCATGCGATCGAGATCGAAGAGCTCAGTCGAGACTTGAACTCCGCCTTGACCCACGACGACGACGACGCCCTTCCCCTGGGTTCGTGTCATCAAATGTCCACACTATGTTCTTATCCCATGACGTAGACGATTCTTCATTAACCCAATCGGCCCTCGAAGAAGCGTTCCTCGACCTCACTTCCAACTCCATGCCAAGGTACTTCTCGCCCAACTAACTCCATTCACACCCCTTGACGTCGCTTCTAGCATGCTTCTCGGCAGTCACGCAACATTCCGCCACTAACACCACACATATATATATATATATCTATACATTCTACCAAGTATTAATATTACTCCAGGATTTGTTTGCTGTGTTGCTTTTAATAGTATTAATATATACTAGTACTAGTATATATATAATATACTAATAACTACTATCACGAGTACAGGTGCTACTTTAGTATTTATTTCTCCCAGCCATTCAGACCGAGTTGTCTAGCATTTTTTGCTTTTCGATGGCTTCGTCTTTGCGGGCCTTGGCGAGTTTACTGGCTTCCGCGTCCTTGAACTTGCCGTAGCCGTACAACATGCCGCCGATGACCCCAAAGCTCACGAAGATGGCGGTCTTGGCGGTGAGTTCTTCGCCGAGGAGCAGTACCCCGATGAAGGTCGTGGGTACCTTGTTCAGACCCCCCACGGTGGCGTACGTTGTGGCCGAGGTCGAGCTGACGCACCAGAACGAGGACAAGTTGAGCGCGATGCCGACGACGCCGCTCACGACCAGAAGGACGAGAAAGGACGCATCGTATGTCAATGGGTTGGACCACATGGTGATGGCATCGCCGTTGACGAGCATGGGGGGAAACAGCAGCGGCAGCGCCACCAGGTTGTTGTAGAACGCCATGCCGAACCTGGACAGCTTTAACGACGATTTGGACGTGGCGTAGCGCATGTAGAGCACGTATGACGCAGTGAACATGCAGTTCATGCACATCCAAAAGTACCCGCTGAGGGTGCTCTGCGTGGCTTTGCCGTCCACTTCGCTGTATGAGGTGAGGACGGCGCCGAGGAGCATGATCCCGAGAGATACGAGGACAATGGGACCCACGCCTTCGCCGAAGAATCGCCATTCCCCAATGACTGTGAGGATGATGGCGACGTTCTTGAACACGGTGACGATGTGGATGGGGAGGCCGGCCGTCGCCAACGTGCCCGTGTACAGCATGGCCACGAAGAAGAACGTGACGGGAGCCCAGCGTTTGGCCGTGTCAAGACTGAAGTTCTCGTACTTGATCACCCCTTGCAGCTTGGCCAGCTCCAGCAGCACCACACCGAGGATCATCTGCGCGAGGATCACAAACGACTTCTCCTGGTAGTTGAAGTACTTCTGCCCCACAAGGTACCGGTTCACGAGCACCATCGCGTTGGACACGGTGCTGTACGCCACGCACGACAGCACCGCCATGGTCGTACTCGAACTCTTCGGACTCGACATCGTGTCACACGTCCAGAGGGATAATGGAAAACATCCTCTGCCACTGCAATTACTTGGTGACGGGGAAACCGGATAATGATATCCGGTTGTTTGTGCGACCCAACCCGTGGAATTTAATAAAGTCCCTCGGACATTCTATATCCAAGAACAAGATGCAAGGCAGTTGAAATTAGGATACAGTATTGTGCGTCAACCCTGAGTAAAGTAGAACGCCGCGCCAGCAATCAGCAGCAGCGCAACCACGGCTCCAGCAATCAGCGCCGTGTTATCGGTCGGATGGTCTTTGAATGCTACGGGAATCGCCTCGTTAGACATATACCACAACCATTCACATACAACTTACTGTTCTTTTCGATGGCGTAGCGCGAGCGCAGCTGGGCCGCGCTGAGGTCGCAGTCCCGGACGGAGCCTCCACGGCTGTAGCGGCTTCGCAGTTCCGACGCAGTCATCCCGTCATCGCCCATGATGTCTAGTCCTCCAAATGCAAAGTGCGCCGAAATGGAGGGTTGATACTGTGCATGCTCAAAATAGAAAAGCTGGCTCGGCGGTTATACTGCAGTATTGGGCGTTTCGGGGGTTCGGGGTTCACAAAAGGAGGTTGAAATCCACCTTCGTTTGTTAGTTCGGCAACGAAGGCATCCGGATAAATTTCTCGTTTTCCGAACAGTGGGGTGCTGAATGAGTGGAGTTTGCGACTGATGTCTTCGTGGAAGGGTGAAGAAGAGCTCAAGGGCGCGCTGTCGTCCTTGGCCACGGCCAAGGGTGTGTCTGCCAACCGCATCAAGGGAGCTACCGTGGCGTGCATGAAGTGGTCCAAGGAGTACAAGCGCGTGGTGCATGCCGTGGAGAACGTCATGTGGAAGGCCGACGTGGAGCATCGGTTGGCGTACATGTACCTGATTGATGCGCTCATCCGAGCGTCGCAGACAAAATTCGGAGACGACAAAGATCACTTTGCCAAGAGGTTTGGGCTGCACATGCATCACACGTTGTCTGCTTGCCGAAAAGTCCCCGACGATCACAAGGTACGTCGACTGTCAGAAAGGACGTGCCCCCTTCGATGGACTTACGATGGGTGGTGTAGAGCAACGTGAAGAAGGTCGTTGTTGAATGGAAGAAGCGAGGGGTGTACACTGCACAGGAGATCGAAGAGGCCGGGGGAGCGGACTTTCTCGGCGACGGCCCCTTGGACTCTGGCGACCGACCGCCACCGAGCAAGGAAAAGATCTCGTCGTTGCTGGACAGCTTACAGAAACTGAAGCAGCAGCACCAACAAGATGCCCCTCCTGCCACAGACAGAGATCAACCCCCCCGTAAAGAGTCGCCACCTCGCCATCAGTACGACATCATGTCCGCATCAGCGTACCAACAGCGTCCATCGCCCTCGCAACCCAAACCTCGATATGCAGACCCATCCAGCGCCTCCTCCCAGTCCTCGTCTCGCTTCGAAGCTGCACCCAATCGATACCCGGACGACATGCCGACGCCTTCATCACGTTTTGACCAACCTTCAACTTCTCGCTTCAACCAGCCCCCACCTCCTAATTCCCGATTCGATCAACCTCCTCAGCAGGGAACTTCCCGGTTCGATCAGCCTACCCAGCAGGCAAATTCCCGATTTGATCAACCTCCCCAACAGGGATCTTCTCGATTTGATCAGCCTCCGCAGCAGAGTTCTTCCCGTTTTGATCAAAATCAGGCAAATTCCCGTTTTGATCAACCTCAGGGGGTAAATTCCCGTCGCTTTGATCAGCCTCCGTCGAATACCCGCTTCGATGCGCCGCCCAACCCTTCGTTTGCTCGCTTTGACCAGCCGCCGTCTGGTCCGTTTAATGCGCTACCACCAAAGCACCAAGAGTTTGGGTATCCTCCCCCTCGCAGTGACGGTTCCCTGCTGGGGAGAAATCCCCCTGGACAAGAGACGTTGAAGCGGGCACGGTGGGGAATTTTCCCGTCAACAATGGTCGTTCTCTCACACTATTTATCGGTAGGTCGCGGTCCCGCAGTCGATCGCCCAACAAACGCCGAGGCCCTTGTCGCGACTTTCAAATGGGTCGGTGCAGTCGGGGCAACCAATGCCGGTACAGTATATATTTATAAAAATATATTTCTAAATATGGCACATAATATTTTGTCCATATATTAGCTTTGCGCACGACGGAGACGTTCCGTCCAATCACGGCCCCCCGCCACCCATGGCGTCCATTTTGCCGTCGCCCCAGTCGACCATGCCGCCTCCATTCCTCGGAAAACCTCCGCAACTGAAAACCCGATTGTGTAATACGTTTCCCAATTGCCGATTTGGCGACCGATGTAATTTTGCACACGGAGAGCGGGAGCTCGGGACCATTGGAGGTGGCTCCACGGACGGGTTTCTTAACAAGAGCCTGCCGCCGCAGTTTCTCCGCCAGCCATCGCCGAGTCCATTTCTCCAAGGACATCATCCACCGCATCCTATGCACATGATGATGATGGCTGGAATGCCCATGATGAATCCTATTAATAATACTATTCCGTCCACTTGCACTCCCATGGCGCCGCCGCATCACACTCCCATGGCGCATCACACTCCCACCGAGCCGAACCAACCGCCCCGTCAGCGCCGGTCTCGCTGGGAGGACAAGAAGCCGTCGGCCCCCACGACCTCGTCCCATCAAGATCAAGCCAAACGACATGACGACCCGCCGCAGCGCAAGCTAGACGTGGACGACGAGCCAGCGGAAGACACGGCCCCTGCCCCCGAGTTTACGTTAGAATACGACGATGACAATTAACAGGGTTTTACTGCAACATGTGGAACTGCAATAACGTTACAAGTGGGGTGAAAAACTTGCAAGTTTTAGACGGGCATATATCGAAAGCTGAGGAGAATCGATTCAAGAACCGCATGAGCCAATCAATTCACGTCATGTCGAATTTCTGCCAATCCAAACGTTTGACCCCTCCGCATTGGGCAAAACTACATATATACGAATCGTTGTATGGTATAGTGTGTACAAGATTAAATAGGATCGAATAGATTCGAAAGCTATTTGGCGAAATGACTGTCAAGTGTCCAAATTTGGGTGAAATGCACAATTATTATTCTATCAGTTTTTAATGCACGTTGAGATTTTAAGAACCTTTGATTGATATTCTAAGCTGGAGCGACTTGGAGAATGAATCGACAAAACCAAATGTTATTTAGCCAATCAGATTGCAGGAAACCATCATCAACGTCAAATTAGTGTGTGACTTCGATTAGTGTGCTACCAATCACCACACCTTTTCACATACAAAATTCAGTACAATGAATCGATCGATAGATTTTTGGCGATTTAGCATTGTCAAGTCCAAATTTTGGGTACAAGGACAATAACGCTGAGCCTAAAGTTAACTATCGTACTTTCTATCGGGGTTGTTAACTGTTACTAGCAGCTAACTTGGGGTTTCGGGATTTGAAGTACTATTTTTGCATATTTTTTCAGAGTTTTCGTAGTGGTAGATTATCCGGATGTGGCTTTGATCCAGTCAATCATTTCAACTTCAAATTCACTTTCACACCATGCCGGACCAACAAGTATTCTTCGGTACGTCCGTAAAGGGCCTATGATGCGTCCATCTGTCTCCATTAACCCGCCTGTGGAATGGCCTTAGACATTGAAATCGGCGGCAAGAAGAGCGGCCGCATCGTCTTTCGTCTGTACGGGGACACGCCCAAGACCAGCGAGAACTTCCGTGCGTTGTGCACGGGCGAGAAGGGCGTTGGCAAGTCTACCCGCAAGCCGTTGACGTACAAGGGTACGCTCTTCGTTTCTATGCTTAAGTTTAACGGATGATGCAGGCTCCATCTTCCACCGCATCATCGACGGGTTCATGTGCCAAGGCGGAGACTTCTCCAACCGCAACGGCACGGGCGGCGAGTCCATTTACGGCGCCAAGTTCAAGGATGAGAACTTCATCCACAAGCACTCCAAGGCGGGTCTGCTGAGCATGGCCAACGCCGGCCGTCACACGAACGGCAGCCAGTTCTTCATCACGCTCGCGGCCACCAAGCACCTCAACAACAAGCACGTCGTGTTCGGCGAAGTGGTCTCGGGCATGCAAGTGGTGCGCGCCATGGCGGCCGTCCCCAAGGGCCGCAACGACAAGCCTACCAAGGACGTGGTGATCGTCGACTGCGGCGAGTACGTGGCCGAAGCCAAACCAGCAGCCGACAAGCCCAAGGACAAGAAGCGCAAGCAGACGGCAGACGAGGCTGCCAAGCCGGACGCCAAGAAGGCGGAAGGTATCACGAAGAAGGGCGGGGATGACAAGAAGGCGAAAGGTGAAGTGGATGTGAACAAGGCGGCTGACGACGATGAGCCCGCCGCCAAGAAGCAAAAGGCATAAACCACAATCTGACAACGAATGTATTATACATTGTCATATCCAGTTGGACAAAACAAATACGGCAGTATTCTGATGGACCACCTTCGCCCCACCGTTTGTGACTACTACTACACCTTTTTGCAGTCAAGTTGGACGAATGCCCGGTATATTTGGCCGTGTGTCCGATATATTTGGCGGTTTGCCCGATTTAATTGGCCGTGTGCCCAAGCAATTGCCCATGTGCCCGATGAATTGTGTCGTGTGCCCGATGAAAATGGAAATCACGCAATAAAAAGTCAATTCAACATAGAAATAGTCGTCAAACGACACATGCAGCATCGTTGTATACTGTTGCCCCTGCCTGTACTTCAACGTTTTGTCCATACTTCAACTCCCTCCAATTGAATCTGTGCAGAGCTCATTTTTCGATTTACCTCAAGGTATGCACCCTCGATGGACGCGCGGAGGCCATGGGCAACATGGGCGTTGGTATGCACAACAACGATGCTGCATGCGTCGTTTGACGACTATTTCTATGTTGAATTGACTTTTTATTGCGTGATTTCCATTTTCATCGGGCACACGACACAATTCATCGGGCACATGGGCAATTGCTTGGGCACACGGCCAATTAAATCGGGCAAACCGCCAAATATATCGGACACACGGCCAAATATACCGGGCATTCGTCCAACTTGACTGCAAAAAGGTGAAGTAATAATATGGGCTACTATTAATATATAGTAGTATGATTCCCACTCTATATCTTTACCAAAATGGACACCACCCATAGTACAACTGACACAGATTTTCGTGCGCCGTGGCCTGCTGGATGAGGCGGTCGACTTGCGCGGGGACGCTGAGGGGCTTATTGTCCTGGTCAAAGTCGCGTCCTCTCAGCTTCTTCTTGACGCATTCGATCACCTTGACCGCTTTAGCATTGAGCTGTTCCGGCTGCATCCCGCCGTCGTCGTCTTCCTTGAGCGCGGCGGCGTTCAGGTCGAACTCGTCCTCTTCGAAGGTCAGATCGTCCATGATGAGGAGGCTGTCGACGGACGACCGCCGCCCCTTGACCTCGTCCTCCTTGTCCGCCTTGTCCTCTTCCGCGTACGCATGCGATGGCGCGGCGTGCGGCGCCAGCAGCCGCCACGTGATGAGAGGGTCGTGCACGAAGGCTTCCAATATGGCCATAAGGCTGTCTCGGTTCTCCCGCAGTACGCGCATGCTGGCTTCGCAAGTGTGGCGGAATGTCCCTTCCAGCCCACTCACTTCCATCGCCTACCCATCGCCATACATGTATTAAAGGCGATGTTTCTTGTATTATACTAGTCCATATATATTCTCCAGTTTACGACTCAAATCGCTTGGGTGTAGCGAAATATTTATATATATATATATATATATATATATATATATATATATATGTCAAGTCGATGTAATAATTGGAGTGGGCGAGTGGTGCTCTTATAAATAATTTAAAAAACAAGTCTATATAAGGTTTATAAAAACATTTTAATCGAATCGAACGAGCACAAGAATAAAAAATCGGCACACAATGTCGAACGATCCACCAATCCAAACCCACCACACGAATCAAGTAGCCAATCAAATTATCCCCTCGTGAACACCGATTCAACCTCGCATTCGTGTATGACTGAAATTAGTGTAATACTGGACGATCTTGACAAGCAAAAGCAAAGAATGCACAAAAGTCCAAATATTACTGATACAAACTCATTTTTTAAAAATAATTTATATATGTTTAGAAGATCTCGTTTAAACATATATATAAATATATAATTTTTCGAAATATCCTATTACCTGGGTCAACATGCGCGTGAGACGGAACGGGACTGTCTCAGGGTACTTTTCCCGCTCGATGGCCACATCAAAGCAATCTCCAAAGTCAATGTGCACCATTTTACCCGAGATCCGGTCCAGCATCAAGTTACCGGGGTGGCGGTCCCCCAGCCCTAGAATATACCCCGCCATGCTCATGACGGCCAAACTCCTGGTAAAATTCCGCCGGCGATCGAGCCACATCTCTGCGTTGAACGACTTGAGCCACAGAACCTTGTACAGGTCCTGACCCGTCGTCTCGTTCAGTGCATTCTCGTACGCTTCTAGCTTTTGAGCTATGGGCAGCTTTTCATAGTCGGGCGCCATCTGCACCATGAGCCGGTACTCAATATTGAGCGGAATTTTGCGGCTTTCGCGGTAGTCCCGGATGAGTTGGTGCAGCGTATCCGTGTTCTCAACCCACCCAATCAAGCCGGATGTGTGGCTCAGCGGAAGGACCGAGAACCGCTCGATGGCCAAGTTCCGCTTGCGGGTATCGCTGTCGTTGGCCAACAGAGTGTTGATCAGACCAAACAGTTGCATCACGCGCTCATCCTGGCGCAGATCTTCGTGCCCCTTGAGCAGAAACGTGTACGCTTTGCCGTTGCTGCCGTTCACAACCACCTACAAATATATAAATATATATATATATATGACACGTATTGGGGACCTATGTACCTTTCGCGGACGCTGCTTGGACGTCAATACAGTCAATTGCGGCCCGAATGACTGGATGCGGATGATGGGCACCCCCGCCTTGTATGTCCCCGGCACAGCCAAGCTCAGCGACGACACCGAGAGCAGCTTGGGGCCGACGTTAGCCAGCTCCAAAGTGCTCAGATTCGCAATCTGCTTCTTGATCCGGTTGAATACATTGTAATAGATATCCCACGCCTGGTTCAAATCGTCGGTTTGGTTGGTCAGTTGGTACAGATCGGTCCACGCTTTGGCCTATATATATATAAATCATAACCCCGTCAACAAAGTCATAGATTCCGTATCTATGTATGGCCATTCATATCCGTACTTGCTGCAAATCCCGGGCAAAAGCTTGGTGAAATGCAATCTCTCGAAGTGTGGGCACGTCGTCCCCAACCCCGAGGTTATCCAGCTGGGCATGCAGCGGCGCCAGTTCATTCAGCATCGCTTGGACATCATGTACGGCAAAGTAGAGGCGGGAAGCTTCTTCTAACGCGCCGTGCCACAGTTCATTCCACAAGATAGCCACTCGGATCAGTTCGCGGGAAACCAGCTCTGCTTCTTGTACGAGTTGCGGTGAATGGCGCTTGACGGCGGCCAGAATCCCCTCGGCGGCGACCTTGCGCTTGGCGCCGACGGCCGTGGACGCGACTGTAATCGGGTAAATCAGCGCTTGGGGGTGGTGGTGCCCGATACGCGTGAGCAGATGGTTGAGTAAATGGTTGGTCTGGGACGAATGTAGCCGCGCAATGAGCTGCGGAATGAACTCGAGCCATGTATCGATAGACACTTTGGCTAGCCCGTCGCTCACTGCGTCGTGCACTTCGACGAGCCGCCCGCCATAGTTGAACCAGAGCGTGAGCAACCGCAGCACATCCTTGGTCACGTCGTACCGGGAATGGCCAAATGTGATCGAGTTGAAGAAGCCGTCGAGGGCGTTGGTGACGTAGCTGTCATCTTTCGAGGCTTCGGCGGCGCGGAAGTTCATTAGAGCCCACTCATGCCATGCCTTGTAGTTGGTTGGGTCGAGCACCGTCGCAGTTTTCAAGCACTCTAATACCTATGTACCATGTGCGTCCATAAATATATATATGACACAACGAAGCACTGGACATATATATATATATTATAAAAAATGCTAGATAGTTGTGCGATTCGTCATCATGAAACGCATGTCAAAAACACTCGGGATATTTCACGTTTTGGTGATTCCGCACAAAGCACGACGGCAAACGAAAAAAGAATGTATCCAATCAGCGACAAGGGAATTTCAGACGGACCAATGGGAGCGATTCGTGATCGAGTAGATTGCACATGGTTTAGAAAGTCGAATCAAATCAATATTATATATATATAGTGCTTTCGAGTGAAACTTCGTGTTGTGGTTTCTCGTTGGAATTTAAATCGAATTGATTGGCTACCTCAGAGAAGCTCAAAATTATTATCCAATCAAAACCACCTTCTCAATGAAATTCAACCAATCCGATCGATTGTGGATCGATTCGATTGCACCCCAAATTTGTATATCAAATCAACAATATATATATACATACCTGGTCATAACGCTGCATTTCGTGGTGCAATTTCGGTTCCATCAGAGTCATTTGCCACTTGCCCAATTGAGTGTACGCTTGCACACGCAGGGACACATAGTCGTTAGTATGGTCTTGCTCTAGCACGTGAATAAACGATTGCAGTTGCTTGAGCGCGATTTCTTCCTTGTTGTCAGCCCACAAGTGCTTGAGATAGGCAAATGCCACGCGGGGATTGTGCTGCTCCAAGTTGGTTAGCAGCGGCACATTCGGGTGCGCGGCCAGCTGCAGCGCCAGTACGTCCGCCCCCACGTTAGCCAGTGCATTGAACGCCAGGTGCAGCTGGCCGTTCTGCCGACACAGCCGCGCATATTTGAGCCATACATGGACGTCGTCTTTCGGGTTCAGAACCAAGGACCTCACGAGCATCAAATGCTGCCACACTTTGATATCTCTGTCGACTCCGAGAAGGCGCGTGGTCCAGATCTGCTGGAGCCGCGCAAAATCGCCGCCGCCGTCGAGATGGCTAATGACTTCTTCCAGTTCGGCTAGATTCTGAAGCTGCACCAGGCACGGCATGTACGCCCTTGCGTAGCTTTCGCTGATAAACGTCTGGATGGTCGGGTCTAGCACAGCTCGGCAGTCTTCAATCGCCCGCTTGGCGTCGTCCAGTTCCCGAGCACGAATACACGTGAGAGACTTGAACAGAAATGCCTCTGTTTCGTCCATGTCGGAATTGATATACTTGGGAAGGAGGTCCCACTGCTGCAGCGTGCATGCGACACGGGCGGCGCTGCTGCACAGTTCCTTCTTGAACGCTGGCGGGACATCGAGCAGGTTGGCGCCTATGTCATCGTCTACGGGGTACACCTTGGCCCAGGTGGCTTCGATGTGCCCCTGCAGCGCCTGCCACTGGCCAATCGCAAACAAGCATCGCATCTTGCCAAACATGGCTTCAATATTGGTCGGGTCCCGCGCGAGGACGTGCTCGTGCGCGGCAAGTCCATCGTCCCACCGTCGCAGTTTTTCATGCCAAGATGCCTGCACGGGTACCTTGGGGAGGTGGATCTGGGCATATGTGACAATGCCCACGGCGGCTTCGAACTGGTTGAGCTTGTTGTTGATGCTAATGAGCGCGTCGATACCTGCGGCGGACGGTGTCGCATGAAATTCCTGCTCCTTGTAATGCAATGCCTTGGCGAATGAGTGGCACTTCTCCGCCATCGTGCCCAGGAGCCGGATGTCCAGCGGCAGCGACGACCGGTCCACCGTCTGGTCGCAGTGCTCCATGAACTCTGCCAAATTGAGCAGCGTTTGAAGGATTTCGCTGGGCAAGTTGGCCGCCTGGAGTACTGTCTCGAGCGTCCGCAGCAGGTTCTCCTGGGTATGGGACGTCAGATGGGGCCATACAGAGAAAAAGGATGCGTAGAAGAGCTCCTTGGCCAGCGGTTGGTAGACGGACGCCAGTTCTTTGCATGCGCGGAGGGCCGGCGACGGCGATTCGCGCAGAAGTTCCACAGACACGGCGCGCATCCACTCGTGCCAGTCATCCTTGGTGCTCTTCTGGGTCGTTTCCCAAGCTTTCACCAGGTGCAATTGGTTGATTGGCAAGGCTTTGGTGGACGACTCGTTCTCGTCTAACACGGTGATCTCCCGCTGCTGCTGCATTTGCTTGGACGGGTCTGTTGCCCACGAAGTCGCTGGCAACGCTTGGTACTTGAGCAATTTGGACACGAGCAGGTCATACCTCTCAAACATTTCGCCAGAGTGCGCCGATCGGTTGAGTACTTGGTTGACCACTGGCACAAAGATCGCGTAGTCATCGCCGAGGGTGTACATCATAGCGACGAGGCAGTCCATGGCCAAATACACCAAGTCATTCTGGGCGTTGCTGCTGATGATTCGCGCCAGCATATGGATGATCTTGGATGCAAACATGGACACATTGAGCCTTCGTACGAGCGAGCCCAGCGTCCCCAGCGCCTGTTTGCGTGGCTGGACGTCAGCGTTGGACTGGATAAGCTTGACCAACACGGGCAGAATCAGGTGCAAATACCCATCCAGAAGTCTTCCCAGCGTTACGATGGTCTTGAGCACCAAGCCAGTGTGAGGGCGTTGATGGGCGTTGTCTCGCTCAGCCCGGATCACCGCCAAGAGCTCGGGCACTACGTCCGACAAGTAGACGCGGAAGCCGTCGCCCAGACATGACGCCACCTCTTGCACGAGATTGAGTACATTCGCCAAGTGTTTCTTCCCATATTGGCGGAGTAGGTACGCCACGGCAGCGTGGTCGAGATACGGCTGGATCTTGTCCTCCATGAGCCGCACCAGCGCACTCAACTGGTCCAGTACAAATACTTTGAGGTCGGTGTTCACTGCATCCAAAGCCACCAAGAACGCCGGTACGATCCGGTGCAGCTGCGGCTCCACCTTTTTGCCAAGCCCAGAGCAGATGTACATGATGGCGAGGATCGTGCCTTGGTAGTGGATCGAGTTTCTCGGCTCGCTCAAGATTCGGATGAGGGCGTTGATTGCCACGGCGGGGAAGTACTGGTCGCCGGCGACGAGGGACGGCAGCAGCTCTTCTGGGGCTATGCACTGGATCACAAACTTCTCGGCCAACTCAGTCGTCGTCGTCACCGCCGCGGTCGTCTTCTTCTTGCTAGGTTCCCGCTTGACTGTCGGCCCAAACAATAAGTCGTGGCCCTTGAACGCTTTCGTGAGCTGCAGATCCAGCTGTTTGGTCGCTACTTGGCCGGACCCTAAACTTCGACCTTGTCTTTCCAATTGAAATAGCTTAAAGCTGAACGGATCGAGCGCGCCGAGAATCCCGAGCGTCCGCCCAGCTTCGATGCGCAGCTTGGCGTTAGCGTCCCCCGACCGCTGTAGCGCCGCACTCAACCCCTCCAGAATCTCGGGATATTCATGGTACGGTCGGGTGACGTACCCCGTGGAGCCGACAAGTAGCCCCAGCGTCCGCACGACCACAACCATCTTGGCCACGTTAGCCGTGCTGCTCTTCATCTCTTTCATCTCTGCGACTAGTTCTGGAATCAACTGGGGCAAGTGGGGAAGGAGCAAATCCTGGCCCACGACCGCGAGCTCGCCGAGCGTACCCGCGACTGCCTTATTCAGGCTCCGGTCGTCGTCCCGGAGGTTCTGCATGAGTACTTTGAGGATTGGGAACACATATGGCTTGGTTAAGCTGCCGGCGCTTTTGAGAAAGTGGCCGAGCACCACCGCGCCATCCTCTTTGACCCGGATGTCGTTGGCGCACTCGAGTTCGGCTAGCAGCTGCACCAGTGTCTGGCGGAGCGACGGCAGGACCGCCGACGGGTTATGCAAGCTCAGACGGCCCAAGATGGTCATGGCGGACTCTCGAATGTCTAGTACTTCATCGTTCAAGGCGATGAAGAGCCCCCGGAGGTTGTCTGGCTGGCCGAGGAGTCCGTCGAAGCGCGCATCGAGGGACGCCAGCACCTTGGACCGGATCTCGGCCTCCGTGTCGGCGATGCCAACTGTAAGCAGCTTCTCCAGCACGGCCGCGACTGCAAACAAGTCGTCGGGGGGGGCTTCTTGAGGCAGCACCAGCTTGCAGCACGTGATCGCGGCGCTTTTGCGGACGTTTGAGATCTCATGGTCCAGGTACTTGACTACATGCGAATGCACGCGTTGGAGGATCGGGATATGCGGATTCCCCTGGAAATCAAACGTTGAGAGCGTGTCCAGCGCCAGAATTTGCATTGCAATGATGGTTTGGCTCGACTCCGAGTGCAAAATCGGCATCGACGACGAGTATTCGAGCTTGGACCCGCCAGAGATGGCGTTCGAGAGCAGATGGAGCACCTTGTTGCCTCCCGAGCCCGTGAGGTTATTGAACGTCTTGCTGCGGTGCCGGCTCGGCGATGCCGAGATGGCCATCATATCCTTCTTGGATGTGTTCACTTCGAGCAGCTCCATGAGCCGCTCAAAGAGGGCCGACTGGATGCGCGGCTTCTCGGCCGGCAGCCTCTTGAGCAGCGTCGCGAGGGTTTCGATCATACTTCTGTCCAGGTCGCACTTGAGCACACACTGGATGGTCGAGTCTAGGTTGATCCGGCCCAGCGACGTGGCTTCTGCCAGCATGCGCAGACAGCTGAGCGCTTCCCGCTGGGTTTCCACGTCCTTCTTCTCGCCCTTCTTCCTTATTAGCCCCAGCTTGATGCAGTGCGTGATGTTTTCCAGCGTCTTTTCATCGCGGCTGAGGGGGCTGCCGATAGCCAGACTCAGCTTGCCAATACTCAGCAGCGCATCCCCCCTTGTGCTAGCCGGGGGGTTGGTCTGGCTCGCCACTTCCAGCAGGTATTGCATGCTAGGGCGGTAGAACTTTTCGAGAAACGTCGACGAGTTGAACTTGGCCAGGCGCGGCAGCAGGTTGATCACGGCGCGCCGTACCACAGACGACTTGTGCGTCTGGTACCCGAGCACGAGATGACCCACCCTGTCAAAATTGGGAAACATAAAGTCCCCCGAGTTTCGAAGCAGCTCGTTCAGGATGAGAAAGGCGCCGTGCATCGACTCGGGAGACCCCCGCTCCAGCCCCCGCCGCCACTCGTCGTAGGTGCGGGTGTACCACTGCGTCTTGCGGTTGCTGTCCCGGGCCTGGAGCAGAGAGAAGCACGCTTGGAGCGCGTCCGCCGCACTTTCCCGCGTCTGCTGCTTCGAGTCTCCAAATGCATTCCAGATCACGTCGAAGAACGTGTCGACGTGCCGGAACAGAATGGCCGGCGCGTTGATGGCCAGTTCCCGCATGATCACGACCGCGGCTTGCCGACGGACCTGGAAGTTCTCGTTGCCGAGCCACTGCAACGCCGGCTTCATGTGATATTCCTCGACAAACTCGATGAGGGACGTCCCGCCAGACGAGACGAGGTGCCCGAGAGCCCGGCCCGCCGCGCGCAACGTCGGCAATTCGTTGCTGCTCGTCTTCTCAAACACTTTGACGAGGGCGTGTGCGAACTCGACGATCTTCGAGTCGTTGTTGTCTGCGATGAACAGGTCCACGAGATGGTCCATGGCCACGATGCCTCCAGTGCGGTCCGTGATGTCCGCCCCCAGCACCATCTCGGTGATGCATGAACTGATGGCGGACACGACGGTCGTGTAGTCCGCCATGGGGAGGTCCCGCGCCTCCGACTCGAGGTAGATGCATAGCGACCTGGCCGTCTTCGTTCGTATCACGGCGTTGGAGTTCCGCAGCCCAGGTAGGAACCGCGCAAACGCCGCCGCTTCCCCCATCGTCGTCGTCGAGGGCGATGTAATGCTCCAATCAGATCGCATAAACGCTTAGTATCCGGTAATTACTGTATTATCCGGATGATTTGGGATGAAATCATGCTACCGCTTGCCACCGCGTGTCCGCCCACCTTGGCGAAGGCCGCCTCGTCGAGCCAGCCGCTTCTTGTACTCGGCCTTGGCCTCTTCCTTCCTCCTTGCTTCCTCTAGCGCTTCGAGTTCTTCCAAACGGATGCGCTCACGCTCACTCTCCACCCACCGCTGCGCCGCTTCTTCATATTGCATCCACTGCCGCTCGTTCTCCTCCCGCTGGAGCTCCAGCGCCTTTTGCCGCCTCGCAAACTCGATCTCTGCTTCTCGTTCGAGCTGATCTTCCTCTTCCTTCTCCATGGCTCGACATTCTTGGATCTCGCGCATGCGTTGCTTGACTTGCGCGACACGCTCCTGACGGGCAACCTTGGCCTCCTTCTTCTTCATCATCTCCAAGTACACGGCCCGCTGCCTCGCATCTCGCAAGCTATCACATGCTTCTCCAAACTCTGCAGGTGAATCAATCTCGTTCAGCAGGGCGAGCGATATCATGGGATCGTTGCGGCGGCGGCAGATGCCACTCGGCTCGATCGCGAACGCGCGCTTGTAGCTGTCCGTGTCAAAGCCAACATGGTACTTGGCTTGATGGGTTTCCAGTGCCGCCAATCTCTCGGTCGCGGCTTCGTGAAATGGGATCACACCCAGCACGACCTTGTAGTCGTCTTTAGCCAGCTGCGGCTGCCCCAACTGCTCCCAGGCGTCCCCCCTTTGAAGCAGAATCGGCACCGCGCCCGGCGTGAGGCCGTTAGTAAAGTACGTGAGCGCGTTAGTGAGCATTTCGATGGCCTCTGGCAGCTACTTTACCCATTATTAGATCACAAGAAAATAGAGTTATTAATAATAGCACCTGGAAAGTCTTGACAAACAGACTGCCCAATGTGAACGCAGCAGTGGTCGCCTCGACTTTGAACCGGATCGACTGGTTCAAATCGTCAGTAGCTTCAACTTGCCATTCTGTCACGGCCGTGCGCCACGTAATTTTCTGCTGCACCAACTCATTCAATCGAGTTTGGGCTACAAAGACTTGGTCGTTTGAGAGGATTTTCACCCCCCACGGTTCCACCAAGCGTTGTTCATGGATTGTTTTCTCCAAAAGCGAACTTTCATCACTCAACGACTCTATGGCTGCCAAGGCTTGGCAAATCTACACACTCAACTCATTAGGTACTACCTAATGCAGCATTCTGAGTACCTACCTGCTGGTACCGGCATATGCCTCGATAAAACGTGGCTTGAGCTCGAATCGGCTCGACTTCTTTCGGCACTCCTGGAAAGCTGGCTATCTGCTCTAGCAAGTTGCTAAACAACGCCGCAGCGGTGGTGTAGTTGCGCTGAGCTAAATCGTGTTTGGCCTTTGCGACCAAGTCTAGCAGAGGTCTTGAGGTCACTTCGCTGGCTTTGAATGGGTTGTTGCTCCAGTCCACATACACAGAACCGTCGTAAAAGAAAGGCGGACGGCGCTCCAGTTGGTTGAACGCGGCAGAGACGAACTTGACGCGGACGAGGTGGTGGCACGTGGTAGGCAGCCACCGCAGCGCATTATGGGACAGGTCCAAGTGTTCCAAACGCTGTAAAAAACCAAGGCGGCCGGGGAGTTGGTGCAGCTTGTTGTACGCCAAGTTGAGGATTCGCAGGTGGTATAGCCGGACGAGATCGTCAGGCACGACGGTTAGTTGGTTGTACGAGACGTCTAGAACCTCCAAGCCTTCAAGTCAATTAGGAAAGCACAAAAAGAGCAAGTTAGTTTACGGTTCAAGTTGGCTAGCCCAGGCGGCAAGGTGACCACTAGGTTGTGCGATAGATGCAGCTCCACCAGCTGCGTGCACTCGTACAAGCGAGTGGGGATGCTTGAGATGGCATTGCGTCCCAGATGCAGCAGCTTGAGGGAGTTGCGAAGTAGCTCCACGTCCAGAGGAACTTGAGTAATTCCGTTCGAAGATAGACGGACAGTGTGCAGGGGCATGTCGGCGGAGTATGCAAATGCGTTCGTTGGGACATCAGGCAAACCGCAGTGATCGAGGGCCACCGTCTCAAGCCGCTCGAGAAAGGGAAGGACATTCGGAAACTCCAGCGATGGGTTGTGGCTCAAGTCGAACGAAATCAAACTCGTGAGGGATTTGATTCCCGACGGGATCTCTGTCAGTTGATTGTACGACCCGTCCAAGCGTATTAATGCAGCGCAACTTCCAATACTACAACCATAGTTAACATACGTACACTGGACTATATGACTTGCCTTGGAGGAAGGCATTGCAGTTGGTTGTAGCTGATGTCGAGAGTGCGGAGACTCGACAGCCGACCCAAACTGTCCGGCAGTTCCGAAAGGGCGTTGTGCTGGAGCAAGCACACTTCCAAGGCGCGGAGGTTGCCGAATTCACTTTCGAGCGCTGGCATGCTGTTGTAGCTCAAGTCCACCGTTGCGAGCGCTGTGCAGTTGTCAATAAGAGCGGGGCACTTGGTGAGTTGGTTGTGGGACAAATTTAGTGCTGTCAAGGCAGTGAGCAGGCCAATGCTGACTTGCCACGCGCTGGTTTCTTTGAGCAAGCGCAGGTCGCCTTCGATGAACGGCAAGTCCGTCATCACGTTGTAGCTCAAGTCCAGCGACGTTAGCCCGCGCAGTTTCCATAGCTTTGGAGAGAACGACCGGATATAGTTGTGCGAGGCGTCTAAGTGCCGAAGCGTCGCTGTGGTTTGCAACCCCACTGGCAGCGAAGTCAGGTGATTGTGGCTCACGTCCAGCTACAACCAACCTCATTCAGCAGCCAGTATTCCACACAAGAGGTATATAGAAATACGTGGACGAGCGCCGTGAGGTCTTGGATGGCAGATGGAATACGCCCCAGTTGATTGCCGCTAAGGTTGAGAGTTTCGAGGTGCTCCAAGTTCCACACACGCCCAGAAATCACCACGGCGTTCAGGCGACTCAAGTTCACCTCCAGCACTGGAATGTCGTCCAACTCCGAGTCTTCCGCAGCATCCACGATGATCTACCAGATCAATTCGGCTTTGTTTCATCAAAACCAAGATGAGTTACTTGTGCTTTGGACCGCGGAAGTCGCCGCTTGCTCAAGTTCAGCGATCGTTCGCTAGAGATGCCGCCAGAGCTATCCACTCTTCGGCGATGGAGAGGGTCGAATGGTAGCAGTGCTCGCGTTCTACCATGTCCATTGATTAGACGATTGAATACCGATGTAAGATAGAAGCTTGCCTCTTTTGTGTCTCTTTGTGAATAAAGATGGGACTGCCGTCGACAGCTTCCAACATGCCACGAAAGTGATTCCTGGCCAAGACCCCTCTCCATGCTGCTTGGATGAGGATGGCCGACGCGTGGTCTTGGAACGTATGGCTGAACTCGTCCAATTCGTCAGACATGTGGGATGGCATCAGCGGCATTGTCCAGGAGGACTCCCCAGTGCTTTCGTTCACATAGTAGACTCGCTGCGTGACGTTGTCAAAGGTGGCTTGCCACCCCGGCGGCAGCATATCGCTTTCATCTCCAACATTGGGTGACGTTTGAGGTTTGGTTTTGAGGCCTCTTGGTGTCATCCACGACGACTGGCCAGTTTGGGCGTTGTAGTAAAAGTACTCTTGAGTACTGGGATCGTAAATTCGCTTGTAAAGGGACTGCATCAGCGATTGCATGTACTGTCGAGAAGTTCTGGCGCGCCACATCTTCTGGATCAGCACTACCGCCGCCTCCTTGGTCAGAACCACTCGAGCGCGGGCCTTCCACAATGCATCTTCATTCGCTGCAGGTCTCACCCACGATGTTTCGTTACTTGCACGGTTGAAGTAGAAGGCGCGGTTCGTTGATGGATCCACAGCTTCTTCCCATCCGTCTCGCAGGCTTATTGACATTTTGTGCCCTTTCGCCAAAAGATTGTGGCGATTTCCGCAGGGATTCTCATGCTATTTAGGGATTTGTTTATGGGTGAATATGATCACTTTGCGGTTATACTTGAGCATTGTATCAGGCAGCCGAACCGGGATACAGCCAGTTATACTTGCGTTTTGTCGTATTTCGAAAACATTTTAGCCAATCAAGGTATACATAGTTTCTAGGACCAGTTCGGACAGATTATATGTAACGTGATCGACCATTGATCGGCCAAATGACCATCGATCGGCCAAGGTGTTTCGTCCAATTGAAATTAATACGATGTTTCATTGGACAAAATAAATCCTTGTCATAAGTCTTACCTGTATAATGTGATGGAGGGAAAAAATTCAATTTTAAAGAGGTTTTCATATTTGAATTTGAAATGCCGCCAAGAACGTCCTACACGCAGGAGGCGATGGACATGGCTGTCCGAGCTGTGCTCAACAAGACACACAGTGTTTTGACCGCTGCCGAGGCACATGGTATACCCCAACGTACACTGCGCACCCATGTCGCCAAGGCAATCACGGGCGACAACCGGCCGACGACGATGGGCAGGCCGCCTGTCTTGCCGAAGGAGAGTTCGAAGACGACTTGGCTACTTGGATTGTCGCAATGGAACACGAAGGGGTACCCGTTGGCTGTCGTCAGATCGTCGACAAGGCAACCGAGATACTTCAAGTGGTAGATGATACACCACGTGACACCAAGCTTACGAGCGGTTGGTACAGAAGATTCCTCGAACGCAATCAAGATCTCAAGATTGCGAAAGCACGAACTCTGAGCAAACCGCGAAACGGTGTCGACAACGATGCCGTGGTGGAGTTCTTTCATGAGCTTGCTCATTCCATGTCACTTGTTGACATGGATCCATCACGGGTCTTCAACATGGACGAGACAAGTTTTTCGCCGTCCAAGATGTCAAGGAAGTTGGTTGTCCAACGCACGACCAAGAATGTTTACGTTCAAGAAGCGACAGCCTCAGCCCACGTCACGATTGTCGCATGTGTTGCTGCCAACGGGACAAAGATTCCACCGTTGTTCGTACTCCCGGGTGACACTGTGTCTACACTGGAATGTGACAGCCTGTCTATTTCTGGTGCCGCAATCACGACGTCCGAAAAAGGGTGGACCAACTCATTCATTTGTCGCAAGTGGATGTCCATGCTCAACTCAAGTATCCCGATTTCGACGCCTCGTCCCATTTTGCTCATTTTGGACAGGTGTTCGTCGCATTACTCCGAGCACATCTACGACGCTGCGACATCATTTGACATTTTGCTGCAATTTCTACCAGCCAACTCAACGCATCTGTTCCAACCGTTGGACGTTACGGTCTTCCGGCCGTTCAAACATGCGATACGCCAAGAAATTTGGGATCTTTTTTGGACCGACGTGGACTCAACCATCAAGAAGCTGCATGCAATCAAAATTGCCTGTAACGTTTGGGCAAATGATACAAGTTCATCAGCTATTTCGGCCGGATTTGTTTGCACCGGACTGTGCCCTCCATCGTTGGACAATATGATGTACTGTCTCTCGCTCTACAAGCCTGCTGAAGTTGCCAAGAAAGACGTTGAAGAATCTTGGCTCCAACGAACGACAATTGTTCGCAATCAGGTGCTACTTTTGCCGCCCAAGAAGAAGCGAAAGCGCGCGCCACGAAAGCGATTGACAGTCAGTAGTAAGCTGTTCACTTCTGATTACCATGGTCTTTTGCAAGCGCAAGCCCTGGAAAAGCCAAAGCGCAAAAAGAAAGCTACTCAAGATGACGTGGCGGTCCAAGTGTTGAATTCGGACGATATCGTAGAAGTTTGTGTGATTTAGATTGATAAAAACAGTTCATACAATGTGTTTGTAGTTGTTAAAATTTGTTGCTACGCTACAGGATAAGAAAATTGAAAATTGTTAAAAAAGATGTTAAGAAAGTTGGTTTGACTCGACAATTCCCTAGGCACCGTGCCCACCTCGAAGAATGATCTTCACTGGTTAACCTTTGCCCTGACCCCACTTACTGCTTCCATTGTAGAGAAGGCTAACGGTATGGAGGTACGGAACGGACGCAGGCACACTTGGTGGTGACGAACTTACGCCGCAGGCACCCACAATGGGCACCAGGAGGATAATTGAAGAATGAATCAAAATCAGTTGTGCAAATACAATTGCACAACGTTGAACAATCCCTACTCGTATTGTACAACGCTGAACAATCCCTTCTCGTACAACGTTGAACAATCCCTTCTCGCATTGTTCAACGTTGAACAATACTTGCAGCTGTTACTCTCAATACCTTTTCCTGTTGAAATTTAGTAAACCTTTGAGACATAGTCTTTGAATTTTTGGAGCGAAAAATTGACCCAACTTTTTTCAATACTTAATTCAAGTGTAAATTTTGGCCGATCAATGGGCGACTGTGTAAAGTGCCGAACTTTGACTTTTTTT